ACAGGCAAATGAGGACCTATTACTAGGAAAACAGCTGAGTTTCAACACTGACTTCTGTGGGTGAAACCTGAATTCTCTCTCAGGCTTGTTTCGCAGAGGTGCAGGGGTAAGCAGGGAGAAGAGGATCAGTAGGTCTGGTGCTGCCCAGCTCTGCTGATACCAAAAGTGTGTTGCACTGGGAGGAAGATGACCAAGAAGGAGGCAGGCAGGAGAAAAAAGGATAGCTAAGCTGCTTCTAAAAAAAAAAAAAAAAGCATAGACTTAAAATTGGTTACATTCTCCTGCCCAGCAGGATTTGGATGTTACCAGAGCTGCTGGTGAAGTCATTGGAGGATATTGCTGTTGAGACAAAACTGTAGAGAAGAGAAGACCGCCTAGGGCCTGAGCTCTTGTGCAGGGCAGCCTTGAGAGCAGGCACGTTGCTTTTTCTTGGCTGGACCCGAGGCAGCCTGCCTGGAACTCTGAGATGCTGTCAGTGGGGTCTGTGCTCTGCTCAGCTGTCACCATCCATCCTGTACTTTCCTTGCAGTGTTGTCCCAAGACTGACCCTGGGTAGAGAAGATGGCCAAAGGTTCTTCTAGGAGAGAGCTGTCCAGTGCTGTCTTCTGTAACAGATAAGGTGCTTCAGGAGCCAGAACTTGAGCTGAGGTCAGGCCTGGGCAAACTGAACTCGAAGCACGGCCTCTTGGCAGCATCCTGGGCTCCCAAGGGTGCTGAGATTGGCCAGCTGAGGTACAGTGCGGATGTAGCTAGTGTGGCTGAGTAGCCCTAAAAAGGCTGTTCCTACCAGGGGGCAATCGTCCCTCTGAGGGAGGAAAAGAAACAGAAGATGTGCTGTGCAGAGCAGTGAGCTGGGTGAGACCATGGTCAACTTGGAGGGAAAGGAGCAGCAGGACAGGAGTTCTCTTGGTGGCCACCAGTTTGAGGGAGGTTTTGGTAATACCTCTGAACAGCTGGTATTAAAATACACCACTGAGCACAAACGAGGGTGGATGTCATTGTCTCTTCTTTTCCCTAACAGCAAAAAGGGGCTGAAGGTAGCAAGGGGATCAGTCTTGGGTTAAAAGATTCCATTTGAAACAGGGTAAATACGTGCAGATTCTTTCAAATGCAAACAAAACAAAACAAAAAAAAAAACACCCAAACAAAGCTTCACAATTCCCCGTGATTTTTAATCTTTGATAAAGACTTGGCTGTTGCTGTTTTGAGGCTGTGGCTCTATGAATGTGACCATAATATTTACCGCAGACTTCCAGGGAGGTGCTTGCCCTTTTCCTGTGTTACAATGGAGGGAAGTTGGAACGAGGACTTAGCCAGCGAAATAAATGATTTAAAAATATTTCAACTTGACTTATTTTTACTGACTCCGCAGTTGAGATGGTTTGTTTCTGAAAGCTAACCTGGCAGTCTCTCTTCAGCAGTTACAGCTTCGTGAATCCCTGTGCTCTCAGGCATAATTTGAGTCAAAGAAATCAATTCTTTCAGGAAAGGCATTTTTCAGATCAGTATGGGGCCTTACGGGACCTCGTGTCTTTTTTACTGCCATAGGTGGGAAAAATGAATTGTTACAGAGAGGAACAAGGGTTTCTGTCACTTGGTAGGGACAGCTTGCCAGAAGCTAAAGGGTGAACTAGATACTGTCATTGCTGCTGCATGGTGATGTTTTGCAAGCATCCTGTTGAATAATGTTTTAGATAACATTGCCAATTTTTATAAAAAAAAAAAAAAAAATCCCCCCAAAAAGATTCCCTGTTCTAGAAACAAGCATTGCTGCTCCTTTCTCATTTAACAAGCATTTTAGTAATATCCATGTTCATGGAATCATTGCAAAGAACATAGGAAGGAGCTGTCGTGGAAGACAGTAAGGAATCTTGTGTTGCTAATTTTTCCAGGCAGAGCTGGAGTATCCATTACAGAGCTGGAAAGCCAGCCAGATGTTACACTGCACAGCTGCTCAGACCCGATTCCTTTTCACAGCTCCAAAGCTAAAATCTTCTCCTTCCTGGGTTCAACCATCTTCTTTGACAGCTTGCTTTGAGACATGCACATGCTCTGTTGAAGAGAGAGAGTCTCTTCCTAGGCTCTAACAAGTCTGTTCTCATTTCAGAAATCTACCGCATTGTTTCGCAGAAGCAGATTGCAGATCGGTCTGCACACGATGAGTCTCCTGGCAACAACGTAGTCGATATCAGTGTCCCACCAACCACCGATGGACAGAAATCCAACAAACTCCAGTGCTGTCAGAACCTGTGACCTCCTGTAGATGACTCTTGTGCCCCTCACTTCGTCTGTGCTTCATTTAGAAACTTGTGTGCACTTCTTTATCTCCTGTGATTCAGTGACTCCCTCTCCCCTCCTTTTCCCCATCCCAAGCTCCTCCTTTCATCTTAGAGCTTTAATTGTAGGGCTAACATTCCCTTGCCTCTGAAATCCCCTTGAATGTGATGACTTTTGGGCTTGAAATGTTGGCACTGATCTGATAGACATGTTTGTGTTGGAACATCTGCTGCTGGATATTATCCCATGAAACACTCTCCTCAAATGGTTCTGGGTTTTCTTTCTGGGAGAGAAGCCATGGGGTCTTGACTATAACAGTTGAAGAAATAACTACATTTAGGTTACAAGGTTTTTTCCTCCCATAGTCAGATTTTTCTCTCACGTTTCTGTAAACATAGGGGAGAAATTAAAAGAAAATAGCTATCCTACCAAATGCTCTGTTTTCTGTCCTGATGAAGTCTCACAGTGAGGTTTTAGTGGCTGCACACACATAAGAAAGGTGTTGAAAATAACATTACTTAATATGTAATTACCCCTAATACAGTTAGTCTGGCTGTGTAGTTTACCGTTTCCTGCTTGGGAAATCTTTCTCTATCCTTGTTTTATTTGGGAACAATGAAGTATGTCTGCATTGCTTTTTCTGCCACCATGAATGCCTGTGCTGCTTATGCAGGCTTTATGAAGTGGTTTAATATTTATTCATGGCTTATGTTAATCAGTTAACATTATTGTACAGTAAGTGCCAGCATATTCCTTTGAAAAAAAATGTTTGCAACCTGTACAAGTAGGCTTATTTTGTACTGTAGATCAGTGTCTGAACGCAGGATCTTCTCTAGTTCCAGAATTTTTTTGCATGCTGCTTTTTCTCTAGATCTCCCCTACCCTGTTTTGAGTGAGTGAAGCAATATTTTCATGTCATGTATATACCTGCACTTGTAAGGGTTTGGTTGTTGTTAGAGAAACACAATACTTTATACATTTTGTAAAACTTCGGCAGAACCATAGCATCTTGAACTTTCTTTTCATGATCTTTCACTATTGACCTTGTGCATAATCTTCTTGACCTTTACTAAAATGCATAATATTAAGATTTCACTGAACTACTAACCTGTTGTTTCCCTCTTATTCTGTTTTACTGAATTGCAAACTGTAATTCTCAAATGATTGTACTTCACCTGATGTAACAGACCTGTCGTCAGCAGGGTTAACTACTATAATATTTTGTTTTGCTGAATGGGAAGAATGTTACCACAACTTCATGTAGTCAGTCTCTTGCTAGCTTGTGGAAACTCTCTATGATGATGGCTTTTCATCACTCACTAGCTCTTACACTTGCATCCCTCTGGTAACCACTGAATGTTATGGCGAGGCAATACTGGGTGAAATGATCTCAAGGAAGAGTTGGAGGCAATCTGCTGCTCTCTGAAGGCTAGTGAAGCAATTTGCAGTGAATTTTTGCTCTGTATTCTTCCAGATTTGGAGAACGTGCCTCACTTGATGAATCCTACCTGCATGTTAGCGAGCTGAAGTATTTTCTGATACAAAGCAAATATGAAACTGTAAATTGTGCTCGAAGGGGAAATCTGACATTCCAGTCTCAACTGTTCTGTCTGGTTATGTAATAAAATTAAGGGCGGTTAACTCTGATGGCTTTTCTTTTATAAGATTTCCAGACCAATGCCTTCAATTTTTTAGTATATGCACCTAGAGGGCTGTAGTTCAAAGCCAAGGTGGTGCCTACCCTTTCCCTTTTCAGCTTTGTTTAGGGGATACACTCCAGACAAAGGGCTGCATGCTTGCAGCCTAATCCCAGCGACTGATGGTCTGAATTCCTCCTTGGACATCACAGGAATCTGTCCTAAGGGTGTCCCAGTCCAGGAAGCACTTTGAGCACTTGGTATGTACTTGAATAACATCCTCTTGGGACGAAGTGCAGCAAGTGGGAGATGGAAACTTCTTTTTGGTGGCCCTATTTAGAAGGGTGAGCGCGGCGTCAGGGAGAGGGAACGCGGAGATCCTGAAAATCTCTCCTTTAAGAGCCACGGGAGGAGCTGGGCTCCTTGATTGTTGAACTTCTGCTTGTTGAACTTCTAATAAATGAGTTGAGTGGTGTGAATAATCCTGCAGCTGAGAAGCCTTCTAGCCCAGGGTGCCGTGTCAATGTGTTTGCTTTCCAAATCCTGTTCTTGATGGGGAGTTGATTGAGGTGATCGACTGCCGTACGAGGTTGAGAAGCAGCTTGGCAGCTTCCCGGCCTCCTCAAAGAGATTTCCTTTGGTTTTTGACTCTGGGGGAGGCTCTGGTGTGAGGGCTGCTCTGTGCTCCCCCATGCCCGCTGCCAGCAGGAGGGGGCAGGGGCTGGAGTGGGGCCAGGGGCTGGGGTGGGCATTGGGGTGCCTGGGCCTGGGCCGAGCAGGGGGCGTGGCCCCGCCATGGCCCCGCCCCTTATGGGCGTGACACCTCCCGGCCCCGCCCCCTACGGGCGTGGTTATGAATGGGGGCGCTGCCACTCGTAGGGGCGTGGCCTCACCCCCCGAGCCGCTCCCCTATTGGCCGCCTCCTGTTGCCAGCGTGGTCGCGTCGCGCCGCCGGCCCCCTGTCGGCGCTGCCCATTGGTGCGGGCGGGGGACCCGGCGTCGAGGCGGCGCGGCGATTGGCTGGCGGGCGGGGAGGAGGCCCCGCCCACTACCGCGAAGGGCGGGGCCCGGGTGGGCGGGGCCCGGCGGCCGCAGGAGCCGGCGATGGGGCGGCGCGCAACGCGCTGAGGGGCCGCGGGCGCCGGGACCGCAGGTACGGGGCGGGGGGGGCGGGGGCGGCTCCGGGCACGAAGCGGCCGCACCGGGACCGGGACCGGGGCTGGGCCCCGCAGCGGTGGTGGGGGGGGAGGCTCCGGTCGAGCCCGGCCCCGGGGGTCCCGCAGCCGCTGGGAGCCGGCGGGGACCGGCCCCGGGGTGGCGAACGGGGGGCGGGGGGGGCTCCAAACCGGCCCCCGCGGTTCCCTCCTCGCTCCGTGCCCGTCCCGCAGCGGCTCCGCTCCCACCTCCCGACCCCGCGGGGCCTGCGCGGCTCCGGGTTGGCCTCCCTGAAGTTTCGCCGTCTCCTCTCAGCCGTTTTTTTTTATTTTTTTGGTTATTATTATTCTTATTTTTCTTATTTTTGACGTCTCAACCGGCGGCGGCGGAGGCCAAAAACTGCTGGATCACGGCACGCGTCCCAGGGGCGAGCCGGCCGGTGGCGGAGGAAGATGGCCGTGACATTGGAGGGGCCCTCCCGGCCTCCGAGCCCTCTGCTCCCCTCCGCTGGGCTCTGCCCGGGGCCGGGACCCCCACGGGAAACCCAAAAACCCCGCGGGGGTCTTTGGCCGAGGCTGCTTTGAGCAGGGCGACCTGTGGAAATGTCACGGCTCCGGGCTGGACGCTGCCCCTCAGGACGGCCCCGGCTGCCCCGCACCTTGTAGGAAGCCTTGTGGGGCTGAGACAGGTGGGGACCCATGGGCAGCGGTGTCGGGGCCAGCAGGAGCAGCTCTGGCCGCTCATCGGGCACGGTGGCGTTTGGAGCTGTGGCTGCTTCACCCCAAGAATCATAGAATCATAGAATCATAGAATATCCTGAGTTGGAAGGGACCCTTAAGGATCATCAAGTCCAACTGGATGAAGAACCGGCTGTCCTGCTCCAGCACGTGCGAGAGAGATCCCCCAGTTAGGAACCCACTTCTCCTCCCGCCCCATATCCCTCACGTATCCCTCCCTTGTGCTCACGGGGCTGTTTGTTCCCCCCCTCTCGGCCCTGTTTTCTTCAGGGCTCTGATTCTGCTCCTCTCTTCTCCCACGAAGTGTTTCTGTGCGCCTTTCCCTTCGGATCTGTTTTCCAGCACTTTCCCCATCTTCCAGACCCTTTCCAGACTCTTGCCAGGAGTCCTGGTGATGCCGCTGTGCTGGGTCAGCTCCGGTGGCCGTGGCCGGTCCCCTTCACCCTGCTCCCAGGGACGTGCGACCCTGCGTGGCTGTCAGGCTTGCACACGCATGGAGTAATCCTTCCAACAGCTGGATGTGAGCCTCGTCTTTCCAAAGCTTAAGTGTCTGAATACAGTTCTTGTATCTCCAAAGGATTACGGAGACAGCTGCAGGGCAGAGTGCAGGACTAGCAAAGCCCTGCTTTTCCAGGTGCACTTGAAGCACTGATGGTAAGGAGCCCTTCAGAAACAGGAGTGGAGGGAGAGGAGCTGGGACTGGAAAATCCCTTTGTCACATGCACCGCAGCAGTGAATTTAATAACCCAAATTGAGGGTGCCAGGTCCAGCTTCCCGCAGGCGTGGGCTGGAGCATTGAGGCCAGCAACTGTGGGCCAGGCAGCACGGGAAGCCTGTGTGTGCTTCACGTGTGTGCCGTGGATGTTGAGTACCAGCTGTGAAATCTGGGTTATCTGCGGGGCTCGCTGATCAACACCACTGGCGTTGTTGAAAAAATAAGTGGAAACAGGAAAAAAAAAGCAATAGAACCGATGGTTTCTTGTTTCTGTTATGCTTGGCTGTGTTCGTTGGTTTTATTTTGCTGTGGAATTGCACTGAGGCTGCAGACTGAGGTCACCCCGTGCTGGACACCAAGGAGGCCGAGCAGAGGAGCAGAGTCATGAATGTACCGATCGTAAACAGCTTCTGACAGAGCCCTTGCCTTAAGAGATGCTGGGAGAGGGGTTTTCTTATTCCAGGTTATTGATGCTGGCCTGGATCAAGCTAGTGGAGGACACGATGTTTCCCCAGGAGGAATTTGCAAAGATTCCTTCAGACAGCATGGCCAGAATCAACCCCAAATGCTTCCAGCACGATCTGGGAACTGGGGAAGGAGAGGCTGGATACGGGCTCTGAGAGCCTGTTGGCCCTGAGGGACTGCAGCAGGTCCTCACTGTGTGACTGCCTGGAGTAGTTCTGCAAGCCGAGATACAAAGTGTAGTGTAAATTTAGGGGCTTTTTTCTCTGCTGTTTAAGACATCTTAGCTTCTGACTCTGAAAAACACAGAACCACTTCCTAGAAGATGAAGGGAGGAATCAGGCATCCTGCACTATAAACTCCAGGATGAGTTTGTTTTTCCCCTACTTGACTTTGACTCAGTTTCGAATATTTGGAGATTTCAGAGTTTCCGTTTTATAAACTCTTTGCTCGCTTTCCTCTTGGAGCAGAGTTTGTAACTGGTGTGTTTTTTCCACCCTCCAGTTTTATTTGCTTCTAGGTGACCTGTGCTCGTGTGCTCTTAGCTCAGACTCTCCCCATGAGCGAGAAGCGATCTCCGTGTACCTGCGTTTGTCCCCCTGGACACACGCTCACTGCTTCCAGCTTAGTATGGAAGAGCCACGTGGGCCCCGCGAGGTGAGAGAGGAGCCAGGTGAGAAATCAAGAGAGTCACAGGCAGAGCTGAGCGTGGCACAGGAGTGATGTGAGTGCTGGGCAGGCAGCTCCCGTGTGGGTTGTGTCAAGCTGCTGTCCTTGGTGGGGTTACCCTATGCCAGCCCAAACCCCGGCTCTGTCTCTCCTTGCTCTGTGCTGGCCGTGACAGCACCAATCCCCAAGGGAGGATGTGGTCCCATGGGCTGTGTCGTGCTTGTGCCATGCTTGCTGTCATTAGAGCAGGTCCTCTCTGGCACGGCAGCGCTACAAATGCCACCAAGAGCCCCTGGGTGGTGGAACGGCTCCGTTCTTGTACCTGGTGTGTGTTACAAGAGCTCTGCGCGCTGGTGGCAAAATGCAGAATGGCAAAATGCTGAAGGCAAGGACTGATGAAGCATCTCGGGGGAGAGACTGAGCCATTCGTGTCCTCTTGTAAGCAAGCACCCACGGTCAGCCACGCTGCCCTGGAGCCTGCCCTGCCTCTTGTGCTCAGTGCTGGCCTGGACCTCTCCGGGGTGAGACCTGTGATTTGTCCCCAGCTGCAGTCAGAACAGGCATCTCCACGTCCTTCCTTCCAGGTTTCCAACTCTCAGCTTCAATTTCTCAACTTTCCAGTTTCTGATCAAACAGAAGGTGATTAAGGGTGGTTAACCTCAAGGACAGGCACTGGAAGGGCTCTTGCGATGTTAACCGCCCGTCGTGGAGGCAGCGACAGGCTGAAGGAAGCATTTTCCTGCTGCTCCCCAAAAGAGGGTGTTTTTTTTTTTTCAGAGGAGCAAGGAGCAATGCTGCCTTGGACAAAGTGTCAAGTACAAACAAACGAGCCAAGGCCTTGCAGTCACACTTTAACACCTATGGTCCTTTGATGGCTTTAGCCCTGTTTCAACCAAAAGCTTTGAGAGGGGTGGGAGGGGAAGGTGCTGTCAGCAGTTTGCAAGGTAAACTGAAGCTCTGGACTGTTCTCAACTTTTATTTCCTCCACATTTTTTTGTACTTCCCTGCAGACAGATCGGTCAAGGCCTGTGTCTCCACAAGAAATGCAACCTAAGCAAAATATCGCAGACTTCAGTGGGGGGGAGAGAGACTGGGGTTTTGCAGCACTGGTATCAACAGTGAAGTTTCCCTTCAGAATTGAGGAGGGAGTATATAGCGGTGAGGAGCAGGTGAAAGGGAGACGCTGGTGAAGGCAGCAGGGAGCAGCTACTCCTCCTTGGCCTCAGGGACTGAGGATGCTCACGGCTGGAGCCTGCCCTGGGACTCTTCAGGTGTGGAGAGGTGGGAGCTGGCTTTGCTGGCAAGCTCTTTGGAGACTGAGCAAGTGAAATTTTGGTGATATTTTGGTGAAATAGCAAGGTCGAGAAATATAAATAGGCAAGTTAAATTCCAGATCAGATACCTGCTTGTGGATCAGCGTGCTGCTTGGTTTTGAGTGCTGGCCTGAGCGGTTGGCACGATCTCCCCTGAGCAGGGCTGCTGCGTGCTGCCAGGCAGCTTCCTCCAGCTCCAGTTTGTCTCCAGACGAAGCATTATTAATTGTAAAACAGCGTAAATGGTGCTTTGTAAACCAGGGAGGAGGACGCCGAGGCGAACGCAAGTTCTGGCACAGGATTCCCGGTCCCAAAATAATGTTTTGCATCCTTCTGAGTAATGATTGACCAACCCAACATTGTGTGGGCGCTTCCGTGTTGATCTGGTGCATGCGTTACTGCTACAGTAAAGTGTGGTTTGTTTTTCCTTCTGGTGTACTGCCCAGAGCTGGAAAATCCATTTGTTCCGAATAAAACCGAAACTGCCTGGGAGGTGACTGCACAGGACAGGGGAGCCGCTGAGCTTTGGTGTTGCTGCAGAAGCTGCCTCTCTTTAACGGGGAGCTCTCTGAAGCTCTCGGGGTAGGAAGCAGGAGCATTTGTGCATTGTTACTGCTGTTATTTTGGTAGAATTTTGAGGTGCAGAGGGAAATGAGAGGCCACCTAGCTCGGCAGGAGCAGGGGTGTGCTGGCAGGTAGCTGGGGGTTGTTTCCCCTCTGAAAAGTAATTTCTGCAAGCATTGCTTAGTGGGCATAAAAGCCATGTGGTTTTCATCCTGGTTTGTGATTGAGAGAAAACTTTCAGGCCTTTCTAAAGCATCTTTCTTTCCCTACAGCAAGGGAATGATAAGGTGCAGGGGGAGGTGGGAACAGAGGCTGTGCAGTTGCGTTACGTGGTGAATCATGCTGCTGCTCACCTCTTAAAAACTGATGGCCTCGGACTACTCGGAGGAGGAGCAGGTGTTCCTCATGTCCCAGCTTGTTTTCGATTGTTTCCTTATGGAACTTGCTATGAAAATGGCTGAGTTTTGGTTGGAGATATCCTCCGCAAAGAATTTTCTCTGAATGTTGCAATTCATTTTTCCAGATGTTGGTAATTAAGGAGCAGTAAACTTTCCTTTCATACGGTCTCGGGGCAGATAACAAGTCTCAGAAGATCTGAGATAACTTTGTTCGTTTTGGCACCCCAGCTGTTAGGCATGGCCTGATCTTTCCAAAGTACAGCCTGTAGTGAGAAAAAAAGTCATCCTTTCAGCTTCTCATTTTTACACTGATAATTTTCCAGCATCTAAGCTTGAATTTTTTGCTTTGTTCTGAGCACTGAGTAACACATTATTGCCTAATATAACTTATATTAGGCAATGCTCTGGTGAAATAGTTCGGTTGATGAACCAGAAGGTGAAAGACACGATGTGTACCCCAGTCTCTGGGCTAACAGGAGCCCTGCCATGTTCCAGCAGACCCATCCATACAAAATTAAGTGAAAATGGGAGCCCAGGGAGTAGCACTGGATACTCGCTGTCTGGGTTTCATCATTGTTAGTCACTAACCTGCCCGTGTGTGCTAGGCCTGGTACTAATGTGCAGGTAATCTTTTTTTTTTACCAACAGGGAATAGAAATCAGCTCACAGAATGGTTGGGGTTGGAAGGGGCCTTAAAGACCATCTAGTTCAACCCCTCTGCCATGGGCAGGGACGCCTCCCAGCAGCCCAGTTCTGCTCAAAGCCCCGTCCAGCCTGGCCTTGAGCACCTCCAGGGCTGGGGCATCCCCAGCTTCTGTGAACAGCCTGTGCCAGGGCCTCACCACCCTCAGAGTAAAGAATTTCTTCCTTATATCTAACCTAAACCTACCCTATTTTAGTTTAAAGCCATTACCCCTTATCCTATCACAAAGAGTCCCTCCCCAGCTTTCCTGCAGCCCCTTCAGGTACTGGCAGGCCGCTGTAAGTTCTCCCTGGAGCTTTCTCTTCTCCAGGCTGAACACCTCCAACTCCCTCAGCGTGTCCTCAGAGCAGAGCTGCTCCAGCCCCTGAGCATCCCTGTGGCCTCCTAGTATCGTTCTAATACGTCCCTGTCCTTCTTGTGCTGGGGGCCCCAGAGCTGAACACAGGGTCCCAGGTGGGGTCTCACAAGAGCAGAGCAGAGGGGGACGATCCCCTCCCTCACCCTGCTGGCCGTGCTGCTTTTGATGCAGCCCAGGATAGGGTTGGCTTTCTGGGCTGCAGGCACACGTTGCCAGCCTGTGTCTGTGCTTGGGATTGCCCTGCCCAGATGCAGAACCTTGCACTTGGCCTTGCTGAACCTCATGAGGTTCTCAGAGGCACACCTCTTGAGCATGCCCAGGTCCCTTGGGGTGGCATCCCTTCCCTCCAGCTCGTGGCATCGTTTTTCTCTGTGGAAAAAAAAAAGAAATAGAATCACATCCTTTGGCAGGCTGTGTTGTCATCTGCGTTTGGAAAACAAACACGTTCACAATCAAACCACAGTAAAAATGGTCAAGGCTGCGGAGAGCTTCTAGAGCATATATGAACAGGAGTTGGCCCAGAGATGGCAGGTTTTGGTCGTTGGTGCCCAGCGAGAGCCTGGTGAGCAAAGGTTTGTGTTTCTATTTGATTTCTGGTGGGCTGAGGTATTGTAGATGTTGCAGGGCAGCTGAGTCGAGTCCCTTACGGTGGCAGATAAAATGCAAATGGGACAGAAACACGAGTCCAGCTGCTTCCCAGAAGCTTCCAACGTCCTCCTGGGTGTGACACGGTGAAACCTGGAGAGCTGCACGAACAAGTACCACACAGCATCTCCATCTCGACCTAAAGGTGCAGGAGGAGGTTGTTCCCAGCGTGAAGCTTTATTAGGGAGTTATCAAGGGACAAAGTCCTGGGAACTTGTGATTTTTTTGTTTATTTTTTTGAGCCTAGGATCAGGTTTGGCCCATGATGGACTGGTTCACAGCACTGCTCCGCTGGCATCGTCTGAGGAGAAAGTTAATGCTGAAGGTCTTGCAGCATCTCCTTTGACCGTGACTCTCAGCGAGATGTCGCAGGCCAGGCAGGAAATTGAGAAGCTGCCTGGGGAGCGAAATGCTTTCCTGTGTGCTGTGTTACAAAATTCTCTGGGACTCCAGGAGGTGTTGTGCGGCGTTGGGTTTGATTCTGTGCTGGGTTTTATGGCGTGAAATGTCGTGAGCGTCGCTTCTTGCACTAGGGGAGGGCTCTCCTCGCACCCCGACTCGCCGGGCTCTTGCCTTCAGAGCCTCTGGCTCCCGAGATTTCTTCCCAAGTTCTGGGCTGTGCAGGGGTAGTGTTGAAATTGCAGAGCTCCCTCCTCTGTGTCTGAGGGCACGTCTTGTGAAGCTTCACAGCTATCTTCAGCTGCTGGATCAGGCGTGGGCAGATCTGGCTTTTCGGGTACCTTAAAGCATTATTCAGCAGACCCACAGGGTGACTCCTGGGAGTCAGACGGGTGCTGAACAAGAACTTGTAGTTTTTTAAAGAACAAAGCAGTGCTGCTGTCTTCAGCCCTCAGCAGAAAGTGTGTTTAAACAAGCAAAAATGAAAAACAAAGCCCTGCAGCAGCTTGGGGCTGATGGTTGGTTTTATTTGGATTTCTGCTTGTTTGCTTCTATAGATTAAAGCAGCTCTGCAACCGGTTAAAAGCAGCTGGGAGGACTTCAGACCACTCATCCCATCCCTCCGTGCGTGGACTCGGTGGCAGTGCCTCGAGGTGGCGAAGGAAGCAATTCTTTGTACCGACTCCCACGAGAAGTTTGAGTTCAGGCAGTCGTAGGGCCCCAGGATTTGGGAAATCCAGTTTTTGTGGTGAAAAGGAAAGCGCTGGTGTTTGAAAACGCCCTGCAGCAAGTGAAAACCTCTCAGTTCACTAACGACATCTGTAAGATCGTATGATTAGGAAACGCAGTGCCTACGATCCCAGGTGAGATAAAAACCGGGTTGGAAAGGCAGGCTGGGAAGCCGTGCTCCTGGGGGTGAAACATCAGCTTGCGTGAGCAGTGGTTGGATATTTGGCCATCTGCACACAAAGAATCTAATGGGTTACCAGCTAAAAACAAACCAAACATTACTTGTGGTTCTGAGTGGGTTATGTTGCCTCCAGCTTGGTTATCTCCTGAGGTTGCCGTAGCATGGTGCCAGATCTTGGGTAGTGTCATCAAAGGAAGGGACTGCTCAGGGAGAGCAGCAAACGTGGCTGCTGGCAGCGCTGCCAGGAGGTGAGCTTCGTGGTGGAGACGTTCCAGGGAAGCCATCAGCTTGGAAGATCACTACAAAAGCTGCTGAGCAGCACCCGAAGAAGGTGGAGCTGCTTCTGGTTCTGGTTTGCTCTGGATCCCATCAGAGCTCCAAAACTGCTCCAAGGCTTTACACCGGTTGAGATATTCATCGTGTAGACAAGCCACGAGCAGCCCAGAGGAGCCACAACCTTGAACCTAACAATTGCCCACTATTTAGCATCTTTCTTTCTTCCTTAGTCATTCCTGCTGCCTTTTTGATCTTGATTCTGGCTTTTTGCTGCGTGGCTTTGTTCCATACATTTATCTGGCCTGCTGTGGTTCCCCTGTCTGGGAGAAAGAGCTGAAGAGCTGTCTTATCAAGCTGCAGGCTCGAAATATGCAGAACAGAGCCTTTAGCTCCTTGTCTTTTGCTTTTCCTGCTGGGCATGACTTCTGGACGGAGAGCAGCCTGACCTCTGCAGCCCTGAGCTGCTCGATCGTTTTGAGGAGTTGAGAAACTCCCGTTGCCCTCTGGATGATACAAACCGGATTGCGTTTCTCACTGCAATGCTGGAAGACTGCTAAGGAGGATTTTTTACAGGAATGTTTTGCGTGAGCTGGGCAGCAGGCAGGATCCTGCAGGAGCACCACGGGCCCTGCGGTGCAGCAGGGTGCTCGCTGCTCTTCGAGGGACGCCGCATCTCGCTGCACGTGTTTGAGTTTTGGAGCCCTGGTGCACAAGTCGCTCTGCGGAGCCAACTTTCCACAAACAGGGTTTGTTTTTCTTCAGCTTGAATAAGCCCTGAAAGCTCGACCGTTTGTATCCTGGATCTGCTTAGCAGTTTAGGCTACAAAATGTTGCTGAGAAGAGACCTCTGATTTATTTGCTCTTGTCTAAGCGAGCAGCAGAGGAGACATTGGTAATAAACTTAATGTCTCGGAGATCTTTATTGGTTTTTGTTGTTGTTTTCTTTTTTTAATAATGCGAATAAGAAATACATCTCCAAGGAGTAGGCTCAGAAATCACAGCTGCCCAGAAAAAGCCGTGTGTGGTTCAAACCAGCTGTTTGGTACTTCATCCCGGCTGTGTTTTTGGGGTTTCTGCTCAGAGGTTGGGTTTGGATTCGGTGAGCTGTTGACAGTTGTGAGAGGAGGCTGCGTGGTGATGAGCTGAAGCCTTCAGGGAGCCAGGAAAGGGACTGGCTTGGCTGTACACTGTGGTTCATGTGCAGCTGGGTATGGAATTGGAAATGGAGCGCACCGCAGATGTTATCTTTGGATTTCAGTGACTTCCCCGCTAACTGTATCCATGAAAATCTCGCTGCTTTTCCTTTGTGTTTGCTGAATGACATGAGTCAGTTACATATTAAAGCGGTGAGTTCAGGCTCCACCCTGGGACGGACCCCGACAAGGAAATGCCAAATAACTTGTAATCGAAAACCACGCGCTTCCTGATAGACTGCGGGGTGGCGATTCCCCCGCACCCTGAGCGGGGCTGCCAGGGCAAGGACACGGGGCTGCCTGTAGCTGTCAGATGTGGAGCACAAAGAGCCTCAGTATAAATACTCCCAGGACACAGGGAGTGAGAGCAGTTTTATTCCAATACACAAAATGGGCCTTTTTTCCTCTGGACTTAAAAATAAACAAGATTTTGGCTGAACAAATGGAACCAACCTTTTTATTAAAAGCATATATCTTCTCATGTCTGCTTCAGTCAGAGGCTTTTAAAACTGAAAGAACTCCTTAACTTGCAAAACAGCTGACTTAAGTCATTCCAATAGCATTTATCATCTTACTTTTTGCTCTTTAGAGTTGGAGCAGCTTTTTATTTTTGCCTTTTTTTTAAAAAAATGAAAGCAATAAGAAAAGTGGCATTAACTCTGCGTGCTCCTTGCGCAGAAGGATGGAGATGCTGAGCTGGGGCCATGCTGGACCCGTTCAGTTCCTTTCAAAGCTGATGGAAAGATCTCTGGTCGTTTCAGTGGGGATTGACCTGCCCATGAGCTCGAGCCTATTCCTGTCCCAGTGCAGAGGAAGGGTTTGCAGATGGTTATCGAGAACAGCTGTGATAAATTAGAAGCTTTTCTATTACAAATCAGAAAATGTTCTGTGACTTGGGTGGATGCTGCTGAAGTGTTGGGTGCTGAGACACCAGAGAAGTGCTCCTCCTCCCCTCTTGAACGTGCCCACCCTGAAGGGAGCCATTTGGGCAGGTGAAGCTTTTGGTTGTGAAAGAATTGCTTAAATTTACAAGAGGTGAAAAAACGCCGGTGCTTACCCAAATCCGTGTTTTCAGGGCTCCAACGATCACGTTCTCATACTGGCTTTTTGTTTTCTTCCTCTGTAGTCTGGCCAAGCCTCCGACCAGGAACAAGCCCTTATTTTCTTTAGCTATTTTAGTTTGATTTAGGCTTAGCTGAACCCGACAAAACTGCAGTTTCGTGGGAATGTTTGACTCCTGTTGTGCACAGAGATCTTGAGACAAAAAGGCATTTCCTCAGATGCGATGGCGAAGGTTTGTTTGTGTGCTTCCACCTCTGCAAGGCAGAGACTGAAGATTCCCTCTCACATTCCCCATCTTCCCTAAATTAAATGAGCCTAATTCTTATAATATTTTTTTCTCAGTTAAGTTGGTTTTTGAGACCTTTTTTCCTTTATTTGTTGCTTTCATTTGAACTTTGTTTAGGGGTTTGTTTCTCTCTTGAAAGCAAGCCACCAGCATGAGACACTTCAGCAGCGATCCTCGTGGTGCTGGTGCTCAGGGATTGCTGTGCATGCCTTACGTAAGGCGGTCCTGTTTACAGACACGAGGATTTTGGTCTTTTCCAGCAGTATGATGTTGTTGGCTAACGGCCAGCCTGTGACTAATTGTAACCCCAGCTTTTTATTTCTGTGCAACCACCTCTGAGGGACCAGGCTAAGGGAGGTGGTGGGAAATGTCAGCTCTTTTTCTGAAGCTGCAAAGCACATCTGTCTTTGGGGTTGAGATAACCCTGCCGGGGAGGAACGCGGCTCTTCCTGGCAGCCTGAGCAAGCTGCTGCCCTCCCTCGAAGGCAGAAAGCTCTCCTGGGTGCGTGGGGCTCTGCGCTTATCTGAGCCAGCTCCTGTTTTGTCACCTTGGGCTCTTTCTCTGCACCTCCTCCCTCATTCTTGCATTTGCTGCTTGTTCCTCGTGCTTTCTGCTGGGTAAGTCCCTGAGGTGCCAGAAGCGTGGCTGGGTGCCTTCGCTGTTTGCACAGGCTGTTGGAAAGGCTGTTGTAAAAGTCACGCCTGGCCTGAGGCTTCGAGAGGGAGAGGAGCAAAGCTGCGCCCTGCTGCCCTCAGCGATGATCTGCAGTGCTTCTGGGTGGCTCACGCCTGCACGGTCACTGCAGGGACGTGGAAGTGGAGGCTCCTGTGTTTCTGTAGAGGAATAAAAAAATGTAAAAACAGAAGTTTTTTGGATTTGGTGGCTTCGATGAGCTCAGAAAGCACCTGGGTGCAGCTGGAGAGAAGGGCTCTGCGGAGCTGTTTGGTGCCGCGGGTCAGTGAAACACGACGGCTCCATGGGGCCTGGGCCTACATTTTGGGTCTGGCTATGGCCAACCCGACCCAGCCCTGTGGGGCTTCTGGTGCCTGCCCTACATCGGCCAGTTCCGTCGGAAAGGCCTCATCAGGTTCAAGGCTGTGTGCCTGCAGCTTTCACTGATTTGCAATCCTGAGGTGAACCAACAGAAGTAGGACACTTGGAGCCCCAATTTAATGTCCAGGCGGCCTCGCATGACACATCAGAGGGGACAGAGGCTGAGCAAACCCTTCAGTTGATGGGTCCTGGTGGCGCCCGTGATGGCGAGGGGCTGGGGTGGGGGGCCTGCAGCAGGCACTGGGGTGCCGGGCACTCATGGCGCTGCTGTCCCTGCAGGTCCCCGGGGCAGAAGGACCCGGAGCTGCGATGACGACGGGCGACTGCTGCCACCTCCCCGGCTCCCTCTGCGACTGCCCGGGCAGCGCCGCCCTCTCCAAGTCGGTGGAGGACTCCGACATTGGGCGCCCGCAGTACGTCACGCAGGTCACCGCCAAGGACGGCCGCCTCCTCTCCACCGTCATCAAGGCGCTGGGCGCACAGAGGTAAGGCCGTGGTGGTAGTCGGGGCTCGTGCTGATCGCATCCGTGTTTTGTTTTGTTTTCCCCGTTTTTCACGGCTCTCAGTGTGGAGGGCGGTGGCGAAGTCTTGTGAAGTTCTTGGTGAGGGCCTTCGCCAGCAGTACTGAGCGTGACTGCTGGTTGTGGAGACAATTTGAGGGCTGAAAACAGAGCAAAGCCCCTTTCCCAAATGGGCGTAGCATAAAGGCATGGGGTCGGTTTTGCAGCCCTGGGGAGAGGAGGGTGTTTGGCTATTGCTGGAGGGGCCGGGTGGCACCTCCAGTTGCTCAAATTCTTCTTTCCCTGACTTCTCATCGTGTATTTTGAGCAGCATCCGGAACGGAGGACATTTGGCAGCATTATTCAGCCCAGCTCGTAACATCGGTCACATTTTGTGTTTAAATCCTATCTGAACAGCTGTTACTTTTTTTTTTTTCAATGAAGTCAGCCAAACGTTGATGAGGTGTGAAAGTGGTGACTGCAAACGTGGGAGAGGGAGGTGGGAAGGTTGGATGTGAGCTGGGGAGAGAGCAATTGCTCCATCCAGCAAACCTGAGGCAGGGCATTAGAAATGCCAGGGGAGGTCGCGTTGCTCTCTGACAGCAGAGAGCAGTTGTTCCTGCCCTTAAAACCCATGGAGGTGGGGAAATCAGGTGGGGAACTGCCTGAGATGACAGGTTTAAAAGAAAAACAAACAAGATTTGTCGTGGGGGCGTCCACGTGGCCCAGCGGCCCATGCAGTTTGGCAGTGGCTGTTTCCAGCCTCTTCCCTGCCACAAGTACTTCACCGAGCCTGAAGGAGCCGCAGGATTTGGTGTGTCTGTGACGTGTCCGAGCTGAGGGCACGTGAGACCAAACCTGCCTGAAACACCTGAGCACAAGCCTTTGCCTTGATGGTTACTGGAAGGACGTGAGGTGAAAGAGAAGCCGGAATCCAAACAGGAAGGTGGAAGGCACCGTGCTTGGAGAATACAAAACCTCCACAGCGGCAGACATCAAAATCCTGCGAGTGAAACAACGCCAGGAGCAGGGTGGCTGCACGGACAGCCTGAGTTGGTGACAATTGGTGACAGCCCGAGTTGGTGACAAGGTCTCTCCAGGCTGCTGGGAAGCTGCCCCTGAGGGGGAATCGTGCAGGAGCAGGGCCAGGCCCCTTCCCCCTCCAGACAGGGAGGAAGGAAAATGGAGTCTGATAACAAATACATTATTTTTTTCTCGCACTGTCAGCGAATTTTTTCCTCCTGGGTTGTTTATTGGTAGCCAAGGTTATATTAATGCTCTGGAAATATGAAACTTCTCAAACAGGAAGAGAAGGGATAAAATGTCTTACAGATGCTTTTCTTAGGAAATAACAGATGCGTGAGAGCACCCGAGGCCCGGGGGTTTTGTTGGTCAGTCACTAAGGCTTTACAGCAGCAGTGCTCGGAGGATCTCCCACTAAACCCGTGTGGAAGGGCCTTTTGGAGGGTGTCTGGGCCAGCCTCCCCGCAGAGCAAGGCCAACTTCAAAGTGGGGTCAGGCTGCTCAGAGCCATGTCCAGCGCAGTTCCCGGTGCCTCTGGGGATGGAGTTTCCAGCACCTCCCCTGTGGCGGGGATTATTCCTGCTGAAGAAGTCCCTTGAATAAAAGGCATGTAACAATTAGGAGACCAGGGTGGGTGGTGTTTGGCAGAGAGAAGGGGGTGGCACAGGGGTGTGCACGAGGAGGAGGGCTCAGAGCACCGGAGGAAGGATCTTGCTGGCTCATGGAGGGTGTGTGTATGCCCCTGTGGTGCACCTCCAGGAGAGGAGCCTTGCTTCTGCTTTGCTGAGCTGAGGTGCACTTTTCGTGCTGGCCCTTCTCAGCCCTTCGTGTCCCCCCGATGTGCTTCCCCATGGGCTCCTTCCCTGTGTGCTGTGCTCCCAGCTCTGTTCCTTTCTCACCCTGCCTCCCGCTCCCAAATCCGTGTGGCTGTGGATAGAGGAGAAAGGTGGTGTTGGGTGAGAGATGCTTGGAAGGCAGGAAAGGGAGATAGCAGCGAATGACCAGCTCTCGTGGTTCAGCAAGGGCAGGGCTGGGTTGGGCATCTGTTGTCCAGCATTTTATTCCTGAATGCTGAGATGTGTGGAGTTGTGGAGACCAGTGGACTCTGAAGTCTAGAGCCATCGCAGGTTTTCCAGGGAGCCCAAGGCATCGTCATGGGGCTGGCAGATGTGGCACGGGGCTTCCAGGAAACCTGTGCTTTTGGAGGCCAGCCAGGATGTCCTTGCACCTAATAATGGCTCCAGCTGCCTAATTTAAGGCAACCAAACCTTACTGGAAGTGACCGCAGGCTAGAACAATAGGTGCAGTTCAGTGTGAAACGATGCAGCTGAAGGACGCCCATCCCGGATTTGCGTGTGTGCTCAGGGGTTCAGAGGAAGGAGACCTTAGGCACGTGGCAGCAATGTGCAAGAGAACAAAAAAGCAAATAAACTGCTGGGAATTAGGAATCGACAAAGGACAGAACACAGTCACTGCAAAAATCCCTGCTGTGCACAGATCCTGAAAACCCTATAGCTCTGGTCCCTGCAGCTTTAAAAGGATGCTTTAGAAACGCAAAAGGTACAGGGAAGGGTAGCGAAGGCAATCCGAGAGGTGGACGTGTTTCTGAGATGTGATTGAATAGACTGGGACTCCTCATGAAAGACATGACCGGGCAGGGTATGGCACAGGTCTGTAAATCTGAGGGGTGTGGAAAACCTTTTTTTTTTTTTTTTTTTTTTTTTACAGGACAAGAACTGGAGGGTAGTACACAACTTAGCTTGTAAAGCATTTCTGGTACTACGAGGTCCCAAGAGAGCAGATTGAGAGCACAGTCAAGGGATTTGGGTCTGTGGGTTGAGGCCTTGAGCCAAGAGGGGTGAGAAGTGGTGGCTGTTGGAGCACTGAGGTGTTCCCAAAAGGGTCCAGGTGGTTGGGGGCATGCAGTGCTCTCTGACTGGGGGTCATCAGGCTTTGCTTTGGGCCTCTGGACTTGTTTCAGCACTTTGGGGCCAGTCTTGGGGCCGGTGTCAGCCCCTGCCCAGCGCTAGTGGAGCTGCAGCTGGGGCTGTGGGTGCTGCGTGTGCACCCTCCTGGGGCCCGGTGGGGTCTCCCCCTGATCTCTGGATGTGGCCATGTCGTTGTGTCTGCTCTGACCGTGATTTCGTTCTGTTTGTCTGCCTCTTTAGTGACGGTCCCATCTGTCGAATCTGTCACGAAGGTGGAAATGGGGAGGGACTGCTTTCCCCGTGTGACTGCACAGGAACACTGGGCACCGTGCACAAGAGCTGCCTGGAAAAATGGTTATCCTCCTCCAACACAAGTTACTGTGAGCTCTGCCACACAGAATTTGTTGTAGAGAGAAGACCGAGACCTTTGACAGAGGTACTGCTTTCTTCCTGCTTCACTCTATTTCCTTACCGTTTGATGAAAAATGAACTGATTTGCCCTGCTGCCCCTGTGGTTCTGTCTCCTCCTCCTTGCAGTACTACTCACAAAGAGCTATTTGTGCAGAGGGATCGAGTCTTTTATCAGACAAGTGACGTAGCTGTGAAAATGCAGTAGCAATGTTTGGGGCAGCCCTTATCTGTGAAGCCCCCCTTGTGCTACCGCCAGCGGGCTGTTGAGCTGCAGAAAGCACTGCACCAGTAGAGATGCTTCAATGCCTGAGCATCCAAACGCAGAGGTCACCACTCAACCCCCTGAAATATGAAGCTGTCAGAAATATGAGTCTTTTTTCCTGTTGGCTTTTATCTTATCTCCGTGTTACATTAGTGCAGCTCTCTCGCATGTGACTTCCTCGTCATCTTCTGCTCTGGAAAGTGAGATGTGGCGATTGCTGGCACTGTTCGTAAAGGACCCGTACTTCTTGAGTAACGCTGATGTGTACTTGAAAGCATTTGTCTGGCTCCTTCCTGCTGAGCTGAGGTGTCCTGAGTAGTTCTGTCACTGTCCCGTGCTCCCCAGCCCTAGGGGGACCAGGCTTTGGATGGGTTGTCAGCCTCCTGGAGATGGATGGCACAGTCCAGGCTGCATTTGCTGTTTTGTTCTGTTTATATGTGCTTTGTGGTGTTTGTGTGTGTGTTTTCTTTTTTTTTCTCGTTTTTTTTATTTTTGTTTTTAATCCCAGTACTCTCTTCCTTCCCCCCATTTAGGTGGTCTGCTGTGCTCCCCTGTAAGACTTCCTTTCTCCCCCAGGGATTGCAGTAGCTGCCTGCAATGAGGCCCCTTGCACGCCAGGAACAAGGCCAGCTGGGCCAGGCCATCCTCTGTCCTCAGAATTCAGGTGCAGGTCCCCAAAGAGGAATGAGTAAATGAGTGCCTTACAGTCCCAGAGGGGTTTGTTTCAAAAGGCCGTTTATTCTAAGCAAGCTTGAGAGGTGCTGGCAGCTGAGCAGTTGGTGTAGATACGGCTGGCGTTTCTCAGGGTGCTGCAGGACCAGGTAGAAGGTGACGTAGGTGTGACTGAGATGCAGCCTGGAAGAGCAAAGCCAAGCTCCTGTGCTCCTCACTGTTCGGGTCCTGTTCTCTGCCCGTGTCTGCATGCTGCTGGGCTGGGCTGGGCGCTCATCAGAGGCCACGAAGTGCCTCTCTGGCAGGGTTTGGACATAGCTCTGGGTTCTGTTTCCAAAGCTGCTTTTCCTGTTCATTATTTCAAACTGTTGCGAAGCCGTGCTGCTGCTCGGTCATCAGCGAGGCCACGGGAGGAGGGCTGTGAGCTGAGTCCCAACAACGAGCTCTTTACCTGCCAGCAACCGGAGATTTGTCAGTGCCTGCCACCAGAAGTGCGTGAGGTTAATGCTGGTTTCTGACTGTGCTCGTAGCCCACTCTGTCTTTTCCCCTGCTCCACCATCCAGATTAAAACCGAGTCACCACTGCACTGATGAATTGCTTTTCCCATATCTGGTCCCATTCCCATTAATTCCAGAGGAATTATGTTCCCATCCCACCTCGCTCTGGAAGCTGTGCTCTCCTTCCCACGTTTTTATCTCCTCTGGGTGCCTGGAGAGCTGGCAGGGCAAAAGCCCCCCCGGCTGGAGAAGCATTCGAGCTGCATTTTGCAAAACCGAGGCTCGGTTTTAATGATGACTGCTTAGTGGCCCGCTGACTGTCATTGACAGGGCAGCCCCATGCAGGAGGTGGCTTTAGACCACGGTGCTAAACTGAATCATGTCTTTAGAAAAGCAATTTGTGAAAGAGCATTACAGCAGTGGGTAGGACTGGCTGAGCCTTATCACTTTGCTCCCAGCTGCTGAAACACATAAAACGTCTCTGACCAAAACCTTTGAAATGACTGTTTCAGAGGTTGAAAACCGATGCTTTAGAGCACTTGGCAAGGGCCAAAACATTTGGGAAGGGCCGTATCTGGGCCTTGAGGACGTGCTGCAGGCAAGCCCAGTACCAGTGAGCTGGTTTGGGCTTACACCGGCCAAAATTTTGAGTGCGGGTTTCAGATGTTTTAGCTTAAGAGCTAGTAAAGTATTCAGGGCCAGAAACAAACATGTGGAAGTGCATTTAGACATAGCTCACAGATGCTGTAGCACCTCGTAACTAGTACAGGCTTGGAAAACTGCACATTTGAATAAAAGGCAAAAGAGAGGCGTGTGCTGGAGGAGTTTCTCCTCTGCCACTGACCCCTGTGCCCCCGGCAGGCAGAGGAGTGAGCTGTGATGGTGCCAGCAGCGCCCGTGGGTCCACTGAGCCCCAGGCTGGGTGAAGAGGTTTTAATTCCTCTTGAAACCTGCGATCAGTCCCTGCAAGCTGTGACCAGCGAGCACTGTGCGAGGAGCATGAGGCAGTGAGCGCTGAGTGCATGGCGAGGCAGCATTTCGTGGTCGTAATGCAGGAGAAATGCTGCCGGTTACAGGCAGGAACAGAGCCTCCAGCCACTCCTGACCGCTTGACAGCTGCCAAAGGGGTTGAGAAGCCGAGGATTTGTTACTTCTCAGACCTGGGGAGAGTCGGGGAGCGCAGAGGAGGGGACGATCTGCCCTGCTGTGCTGGGGAGCAGGCTGTGTGGGGTGCCCTGAGCGCCTCGGGGGCTCGGAGGCTGGCTGAGAAGTCGCCCGTTACCTGCTTGAGGGCGATCCCTGCCCTGAGCAGAGCCCAACTGCAGCTTGCCATCATCATACGGCCCCCGAGCCAGTCCCTGGCCTGTGGTTTGTTGGCACCGAGCTTTTTCTCTGACTCACAGAGCAGCTGTAGCCCACTTTAATTAATCTGGAGGTGGCAGCCTGCTCTAGAACTTCCCAAAATTGCTGGCAAGACCTCATATTTTGGCTGTACCACACTGTACAACACAAACGCACTGATCCCTGCCCCTGGAGCCCAGGGAAATTGCCCTGCAGTGCAGTTTTTATTTTTTTTTTCTTTTTCCTCTTCGTGCAGAGCCCTTCTGAAACAGCCCGTAACCGCTCTGCCAGTTTGCCAACACTTCCCATTAATACCCTCTGTCTGCAGCCTGGCGTAACCTCATCCCCTTGGCAGCTCGGACTGAAACTCGTCACCAAATCATTTTGGGAAGTTTCAGCCCCAAATTGTTCATCTGGTTCTCAGAAGAGGGCCAGGGAAAGAGGCCGCTTAGTCACTCCCAAATGACACGCTTCCCTCCGTTGCCTTATCTGAGCGATTCTCCCCTCCCGGCTGATGTTGCTGGGGGGTAGGGAGCGTTTTGAAACTTTCGGGGAAGTGATGCTGGCGTGTGAGCGTGGTCAGCAGCTGTGCTGAGAACCTGCTGCTCCCTGAGTGAAACCGGCTGGCACGTGCCAAGGAGCACCCCCGTCACGCCGTGAGAGCCTCAGCCCTGGGACAGACGGAGAGCTTGGAGTCTCCAGCCCTGGAGCAAAGCTTCCCCTGGGGTCTGCCCCATCCCTGCTGCTCACCAAGCCCCCGCCGTGGCTCTCAGGGCTCTGGCCCAGCCCTGGGCATCTTGTGGGGCTGCTGTGGGCCTGGGCTGGGCCCTGGGTGCTGGGAAAGTGGCTGCGTGCTCAGGCGAGGAGCTGGTGATGGGAAAGGGACGGTCCCGTGTGGCCGAGCAAGTGAAGCCTCTCCTTCGCCTGCTAAAGGGCTGGGAAGTCAAAGCAGGGATTGCTGAGCAGAGGATAAATGGGGTGCAGAGCAGGGCTGGGGGGAGAGCCGGTCTGAAGGGCTCTCAGGAGGGAGCCCCAGCTGACTGGGGGCTGGAGGAAGCATTTTACCGAAAGCTGTGGGGAGGCTGCACGGCTGAGTCGAAATGCTTCTGCAGAAGCTGCAGGAAGTTCTTGGAAGTCAGGAAAAGCCACAATCAAAGTTGCCTTAGCTTTTAATTCAGTTCTCTGGTAAGCCTGCGTTGCGGTGTGGTCTCTGTGTGGTCGCAGGCTGCGCTTTCCAGGATCAGCACGGGGGCAGAAGATGCACACTGGCCAACTTTGTTTGTCCCGCTGTGTTGAGCCTTGAGCTCTTCTGTCCCTGCTCTCAATACAATTATTTATTTCCCAGTGGGCTTCTTTGGGGCACTTGTTGCTGTGACAGCTGAGCACTTCACAACCAGTAATTTAATTTTGCAGCCTCCTTTTGAGAGGAAAGACAGCAACCTTGCTCAGCGTGGATTAAAGATAATTTTTTAATAGAATCGGATTTTTATTTTCTTTAACTAGCCATTTATTTATGTTGTAGGCTGTTCAATCTTAAAATAGTAACAGTGTTTGCTGCCAGCATGCCTGATCTCTCCTCCAGCAGTGGGGGACTTGTCAGAGCCCTGAGCCAGCTCTGGCAGCCATGGGCTGGCCCGTGGGTGCGGGGAGGAAACCTCCTGCAGTTCAGCCTCATTCAGTTATTTTTTAACTAAGAAGCTAGTGGAAAGCTGAAAAAAGCACAGAAGACTTTTGTTGACTGCTCTGCTGTCAGACTACTGGGCTGAATGCTTTTTTGGGAGCACGCATGAGGTGCTGTGGGTGAAGATGGGGAGTCGAACAGCAGCCCTGGGTGCGTAGGAAGGGTGGGCAGCCAGCAGTGCGGGGTGCTGCCAGCTGGTGCCTGGGCTGCACGGGGCTGGGGCAGCTCCTGCCTGGCTCTTTGAAACGCCCTCTGGCACGAGAGGGTTGCAGACCAGGTTTGTCGTATGAGGAGCATGTCCCCAGCAGGCAATGAGACTGCAGAGCCTTGGAGAGAGACGGCTTGCCAGTACTTAGCATCCCTACGTTAACGTTAATTTGATGTGCATCTGTGTGTCTGCAGGGAAGTGACCTAAATCTGTGAGGCTAGCGAGCGGGGCTGACACGGGTGTGAAGTCCTGAGCAGGCTGTGTGTGTGCTTCTTGGAAGGCTTCAGCAGCAGGGGTTCCGGTGAAGCATTCAAACTGCAAGTTGCAGTGCATGCAGCTTTCCTGGAACAGGTAGTTTCTGCTTTTTTTTTTTTTCAGAGGTTAGACACAGAAAGGAGTCATCTTCTGAAGATACCCATATCTCTGGTGTCCAGAGCGTTTTGGAAGGAGGAGCACAGCCCTTTGGAAGTGTAGCACTGCTTCATTCTAAACAGCTTTCCCCCAGGCCATGGATGGTCACGCAATCCTCCAGGCAAGGTTGGGTTTATTTGCCCTAGCTTTGTCCACCTTAAATTTGCCAAATCCCCGTTTTATTCTTTAGAATCCTATAGTCTCTGGAGAGAAGGAAATGCCTCTTGTGACCAGTTCATTCCTGCCTCCTTAGAAACCTAGGTTAGGGTGGGTCAGCTTGTCTGGAGGTGCCTGCTTTTTTCTGGCTCTAGACAGAGCCAAGAGAAGTGCTGTTTCAGGCAGCTGGTTGTACAGGGGTGTGTGTCCCACCTCGTAGCATTCTCCTGTTCACATAAACCCCTTTCTTTGGTTTGCGGTTCAATCCATCACAAACCAGTTCTCTCTTGCAAGGTGCTCTCTCTGCTGAAGATTGTTTGTCCTCTAGGATTTGGGGCAGGACTGCATGGATTGGGATATTTGGTGCTGGATTTGATGCGTCATGCATTTCTAGAAAGCATCATCAAAGGTGATGCCGTGGCTTTGTTTCTGTGGCCACAGGCAAGCGTTGCCCTTCTGCACATCTCCTGGTCGGTCCCTGTTCCTGAGCCCTTCTGGCCTGATTTTGTTTTCAGACTGTTCCCTCTTTGTTTTCTCAGGTTATCAGCAGAAGTATTTCCTTTCCGTGGGTTCTTTGCCATGTGTATTTTGCCGTGGCACTGACCCTCGAGTCCCATCTCTCATCTCCCCGTGCTGCCTCCTCAGCCTCATCCCTTCTGCTGGACAACCCCTGTGTGCACGGCGAGCTCTCTGCACGGAAATGGCCGGGGCTGGCAGCTCGGGGAGGTGTCGGAGCAGCAGCCGTTTAATCCCAGCAACACGTCAGCCCGCGTTAAAGAGGAAGGATGCGTTTCTGTCCACACATCATTTAAGTCCCAGGGAGAGGAACAGGATGACAGGGCTCGGTTGCGAGTGGACGTGTGTTTTTGGTGCTGGGGCCAAAGCTCTGGCTTTGCTAAAATTTCCGGGATGTTGAAAGCCAACGTATAAAAGTAGCAAAAAGACCTGGTAGCAAAAAGCTAATGAGTGTTATGCATGACTTCTTCATAATGCCTCTCTAAGCCTTTAATACCATTGCTAAAGCAAAACTTATATGAGACAGCTCGCTAATTACAAAAAACACCTCTCTGGTGAATCAGGCAAGGACTGTTCCATATTGTCACCGCTGAGCAGCTTAACCACTCCCCGTGTTTCTGTCCTTGCAGGCAGGTCTCATGGTGGAGCCTCAAGAGAATTCCCCATCCATGTCTTCAGAGCTGGTGTTTTCCTGCAATGTGTGTGTCACTGTGCTTTATTTCAAAATGCCAGCGTTGGTAATATCTGCCTGGCCCTGTGCTTCTGCAAAACAGTTCTTTCCAAGCGTGTTATCCACCACGGGAGACTGACAAGTGTTTTTTTTTGTTGCTGTTCCTACTGTTTGTGTTCTATTAGGCAATTTCGATTAAAGACATTTGTTTTTCACTGATTGCTAATGCTTTTGGCTTGCTTAAGCTGGATGCTTTATATAGGTCAGTGAATTTTGTTTTGTCTCGTTTGGAAGTTGTGCTTTCCTTACACAACCACTGTCTGCAAAGCTTGGTACACGTTCTCAGAGGCATTTGTTGGGCTGTGGGGGTTGTGCTGTAGCCCAGGACACCTCCCTGGGTCTGCCACATGCAGTCTTTCTGCTCCTCTCACAAGTCTCCTGTAGCTGTGAGAGGTGCAGATGCAATATCTCCGTTACAAGCAGGATGAGGTTTGCAGGGAGCAGTGGTGATGTTCCTATTAGCCCTGCTTCTATAACTAGGAAAAGAAATTTTGCTTTTGGGCACGGTGCCCAGCGCAGCGGTCGCTGCCCCTCCTCCAGTTCAGAGAAGTGAGATGTGACGTGAGCTCTCCCCACCCTTCCTCCAGCCTTATCTTCCTCACAGACAGGCTTTTTTCTTTGCTTTCCTCGAACTCCTCTGCTGAACTCACTGCACCGTTCTCCATCTCCTCCACGTTCCTCTGTCCCCTTCCCCAACTTGTTGCTGTGGTCTCTCTCCTTTCTCAGTGCAAGCTGATGTTAGACTCCAGCACCTAGTAAAAATAAAACAAATCACTCGGCTTCAGCTGAGTCTTGTTCCTCTCTCACGTTTTCCTTCATCTCTTTGCTTGCATGTGCTGTCTGGAGATGTTCTTTCCCAGCTCCCACCCTCGATCCTCTCGGTGTTTCTCAGTGCGCTCCCTGGCATTGCTCTGCTGGACCCAGAGTGGCCTCTTTGAGGCCAAAGCTAGGAATTTTCATCCCTGCTCTCTTGGCAGTTACCGACACCAGCATCTTTCTTACATCTCTGCCTTCACTGCGTTGTCCAGCCCTGTTTGTGCTCTGGGGATCCCTAGGAGCGGGGCTCCTCTGGGGTGCAGCTGCTGGCGGTGCCGTGATCCCATAGCTGTGCATTTTGTGGCGTGGCATTTCCCGTGGTGGCAAACCACAGAAGCACACACTGGTATGTAAGGAGGAGTCCCGGTGAGCTGCAGCTCTGCAGAATGGTTGCGTGGCCCTTTTCTTGAGGAGCACTGAGGGCTGGAGTCGGTTCCTGTCCCGTGCGCTCCAGCAGCGCCGTGCGTGCCACTCCTGTTCCCTGCCCTGTTTTTCCCTGCAGCTGGAGCTGGGCTGAGGGTGTGGAGAAGGGGATCTCAGGTCCCTCTCGGGAGAGATTCAGCTTTTGGAGGTTTGTGGGGCATCAATAGTATCCGGCTGTGCAGTAGGGAAAAAAGGCTGAGGAGGGTCGGCTGTTCCGTGGCACTTGACCGCCCTGCGTACAGGGCCGGGGGCATTTCTGGCCTCAGCTCCCGGACCTTTGGCTGCTCCATCAGAAAAGGTTCCTCGCCTTGGGAACAGGAGCAGGACCGTCCTGCTGGGCTGCACAGGTGGCTTGTGAGGAGTTTCAGTTGTTAAACACGGACCTGCAGGGAAGGGATGGGGCAGTGCCTCTGCTGGAGCTGTGGTTTTCGGATCAGTGCGATTCTCGGGGCAGGACAGCGCTGGTCGTGCTCCTGTGAATCCAGGTCGTGCTTTTCGTTCCTGCCTGACGTAGCCACGCAGCAGGTCAGCAATGAAAGGAACAGGCACCCGAGCAGCCACAGGTTAACGGTGGTGGATGGGAAGGACACGGGATGTTTTGTACACAGGTGGCTTCGTGCAGCCAAATGATTCCTGTTTGTGGTGGCAGCGATGGCTGGAACAGGCAGCAGGTTACTGCGGCTGTGACCGGTGCTCTCCAGAGCAGGCAGCCCAGCCGCAGGGCAGGGAGAGACCCGAGCACCCGCTGGGACGCTCCTTAATCAGCCCCTGCCCCTGCTCCCAGGTGGCAGGATGTCACCCAGCTCTCTGGGCTGGGATGGGCTGTCTGGAAGACTGCTCTGATACACCGTGAGCTCTGCCGTTGGCTTCCAGAGCAGCTGCTGTAACGCTGGTGCCTTTTTCTATGCGCCCTCCTTCTCCTGCCTTCCATCACCTGGTGCTTAGTCTAGTTTTGTGGGCACTGGAGCACCCAAAAATCAGAGACTCATCATTGAACAGCCCCACTGTGAGTCCAAGAATCATGCTCTGCTCCACAGCCCTGCTGATCCCAGTAGAAAAAAACAGCTGAGAAAGCCCCAGGATTGTGCTGGAGGACAAAAAACGTGTGTGCAGCAGGAAGGACCTCTTGTCGTGCAAGCAGGGTGCTTGTTCCCAGCGGGGTGTCCTGGGAGCCAGCTCATAGCCGAAGCGGGCAGAGCGGCCAGGTCAGGCTCTCTGCCTCCAGGCTCACACTTGTTTGCAGCACGGAGGCAATTGGTTTTGGACTTGGCCTGGAAGAAGATCAAGTTGTGCTTTTGTTGCTTTCCCATGTTTACTTGACAGTTTTCCCTACAAAAATTGTTTAATCTGACCACTTTTTGGATTGTTTACAAGGTTTATTTTAAGTCCCATGTGCATTAAGCTGCTGCTATGCCAGAAACCCTGCGCCCTTAGGGTGCCTTATTGTATTCTTTTTTTTTATTGTCAGTGCACATTGGCTGAGTAAATCAACTACTTCAAAAGGAAATTAATTTGCTTCCTGCCTTTACATGTTTGGCTCCTGTCTTGGGGAGAAAGGGGGAGCTTCAAAGGTTACGAAGAATATAAATAGAGTAAGATTCAATAAAATACCAATTTGCTCTATTGTTACTCTTATTGTACAGGGGTCAGAAGTGACCCAAGCTGTCCTTGTTTACAGGGACAGGATGCTCTGGGACTGCTGCTAGAGGGCTCTCAGCCCAGGTCTGGACAATTCAGCATTCACCCTAGTGCCACGCAGCCCGGACGGGTGGCTGCAGAGCTTGGGGCTGCCCGTGCCCTGTGTGTAGGAGCAGTTTTGCCATGCAGCCGAGCTGCCATCCGCCCTCGCTTCCTTCCAGGGCTGCTCAGGACCGTGTGTGTGGTCCTTATCTTCCCCTCGCAGCTCATCACCGCTAATCTCCTCTGCAGAGACACGCAGAGGGTGACTTGCAGGGCTGCCTCCCTTCTTCCAGCTCCTCCTGGCCAAACCACAGTTGTGGCTGCTCTTGAATTTCCTTCTGGCTGTCAGGCCAGCCAGTCCTGCTCAGAGTGGCTTTAAAAATGCTTTGAACTTGACCTTTCCTATTGCAGCATTGCTTGGTCTTTACCTTGTCTGTGCTCTTCAGTTCACTCTCCAGCTCCCCTCATTTTTGTTCTGTTTGGTCTCTCAGATGCTTCAGGTCACATCTTTGAATGAGCACCCTGCTTCCGTCAGTTCTGCCAGCTGAAATTCCTAGCCAGCCTCTTACGTGTCCTCTGGAAGTCCTCCTGTCTCTCCTGTGGCCTCGTCCAGCTTGGTGCCCCACTGCAGGCATCTGCAGAGCACGCTGCTACCACGGCTCCAAGCACTGCAGCTCTGGTGCTGCCTCTTGCCCGGATCTGCCATCTCTCCCTTCTCCTTCCCATCTCAGTGAGAGGCGTCTGCAGTTCTCAGCCTGCCTTTGCTGCTCTGCCACATCCTACTGGACATCCCTCATGCTAGATTTTCTCCTTAATTAACTCTGCACCGACCCGTGGGTATCCTTCCGTGCTCCCCTTGCAGGTCAATGTCGCTTGCCTGTCCCTGGATCTCTTGGGGATATTCCTTTCCCTGCTCTGACTGCCTTTTTGGTCACGTTCTCCAGTTTTGTTTTGGTTTGGTTTTGAGCAAAAAATCCTAAACAAGCCAAGTAGTTCTGGTGCAGGAAACAGGGAAGGCTCCAGCAGCCCAGCTATACCAAACCCAAACGCACCGCAACAGCTCTGGGTATTGGTAGGAACGGCAGTCACTTGCTGTTCTAAAAAAAGGAAAGGAAAGGCTGAAAATAACATAATCCCAGGAAAACTAGAACAATTGCTGTTGTGAAAGTCAACTGTCTGTAAAGAATCCACACTTGGAAGCAAGTCAGGGCTCTTAGAAGTAGTGACAGCTTCGAGGTTGTCTGCAGAGGGAAACCTGCCTGCAGCAGAGCTGTGCTCTTTCTGCTACCTGCTAATTGGCGAGTGCTGCAAGAAAGAAGCACTTGCAAAACTCACAAAGCATCCTGATGACTGAGAGCAAGGTGCAGTCCCCGTGATGGATCACTTAATGCGTGGGAGGAAGGCCACCAAGCCTGCAAACAGGAGGGAACCCAGCAGGATCAGCTCTGATGTAGTCCTGGCAGGTCTCTTCTGCCCGCCCGTCGTGTGGTGGCCAGTGGGAATGGAAAGGTTTGGGGGATTTTGCAGCTGTGGCGTTTTCAGTAGCTGTGACAGTGATCCTGAGACCTGGGAGAGAGCGGTGGGGGATCTTCCCCCCTGCACACCGAGTTCTGCCTCCCTCCTGACCTGACAGTCATGCTGATTTTTCTTTAGAAGTAATCGACGCCTTTCTCTGGGAATTGGAATGTTTTACACCTGAAGACAAGGGTTTGGGCACAGATATTCCATAAAAGAAAATGAGTTCACATCACCTTCTCCTTCAAGGGCCAGCCTGACTCTGCAGCCCCTTGGTTGCTGTCCCACTTTAGCTGCTCAGGTGCAAAGCTTTCTGGTAGCTATTCGCTTCCTTTTTGCCTTTTTTTTTCTCTTTTTTTTTTTTTTTTTTTTTCTCAACTCCTGGTTTCTTATTTGCTGAAGAGAGATGTTTTTTCCCTTCTGTCATCGTCTCAGTGGACAGACCAGGTGCGTGGGTGTTTGTGGTCCCCACTGATGGCCTCGGGTGGGCGCGGGGCTCCCCATGAGCAGCGTTGCTGCAGCTTGCTCAGGCCCCAGGGACGGCACCGTGCCCCTGAGAGCACAGACCCTGAAGCTCTGCTTTCCCATAGCCCCTGTTCATAGAAGGGTTTGGAGTTGGAAGAGACCTTGAAGATCACCTTGTTCCAACCCCCCTGCCGTGGGCCATGTTGCTCAAAGCCCCATCCAGCCTGGCCTTGAACACCTCCAGGGATGGGGCACCCACAGCCTCTCTGGGCAGCCAGGGCCTCATCCAGCTAATTCCTCACCCACCGAGTGGTCCCTCTGTCAAATCCATGTCTCTCCAATTTATGAGACAAGGATATCATGGGGGACAGTGTCAAATGCTGTGCACAAACCCAGGTAGATAATGTCTGCTGCTCTTTCTCCATCCACCAAAGCTGTAACCCCCTTGTAGAAGGCCACCAGATCTGTCAGGCACAAACTGCCCTTAGTGAGGCCATGTTGGCTGTCACCAATCACCTCCATATTTTCCATGTCCCTTAGCAGAGTTTCCAGGAGGATCTGCCCCATGATCTTGCCAGGCACAGAGGTGAGACTGACTGGCCTGTAGTTCCCCAGGTCTTCCTTTTTTCCCTTTTTAAGAATTGGGGTTTTATTTCCCCTCTTGCAGTCAGTGGGAACTTCACTGGACTGTCACAGCTTCTCAAATATGATGGATCCTGGCTTAGCAGCTACATCTGCTGCTTCCCTCAGGACCCGCAGATGGATCTCATCAGGTCCTGTGGAGTTTTGCACCTTCAGGTTCCTTAGATGGCCTCACGTCTATCTCCTACGCTGTGTGGTTCACCATTCTCCCAGTCCCTGCCTTTGTCTTCTGGGGCCCAGGCCATGTGGCTGGAGCTCTCCTCAGTGAAGACTGAGGCAAAATAGTCATTGAGTACCTCAGCTTTATTCATATTCTGGGTAACCAGGTCTCCCACATCCTTCCAGACTGGGCCCACAGTTTTCCCAGTCTTTTATCACCCATGTACCTATAGAATCCTTTCTTGTTGCCTTTGATGTCCCTGGCCAAAATTCATTGTAAAAGGGCTTTGGCTTTCCTAACGTGATCCCTGGCTGCACTGGACAGTGTCTCTGTATCCCTCGAGGCTCTCTGTCCCTGCTTCCACTCTCTGCAGGTCTCCTGGTTCTGTTCGAGTTTGGCCAGGAGCTCCTTGTTCATCCATGCAGACCTCCCTCTGCCCGCTACCTGCTGCCTTCTCTTCCAGTGCGGAGCCCAGCCTGCTCCTGTGTTTTCTGCCATCCTCCCTCCCACGTATTCTTCAGCTGTCTCTTGCCTTTCCCTTGATGGTTATTAAAAATGTACTTGATGTGCTCTAGCCCTATTTTTGTGATGGTTTATGTGAGTTAAGTGGATGCAGCGGGTACATACGGGCTGCAGAGAGCGTGTGAGAGCTTCCTGGTGCAGCAGCCCCCTGTGTGCCCTGCGTGCTGCTGATGCCCTTCTCACCTTCCTTCCCGCAGTGGCTGAAGGATCCTGGTCCCCGCAATGAGAAGAGGACCCTTTTCTGTGACATGGTGTGTTTCCTGTTCATTACTCCTCTGGCAGCAATCTCCGGCTGGCTGTGTCTTCGTGGAGCCCAGGATCATTTGCAGTTCAACAGCCGACTGGAGGCCATTGGACTCATAGCACTAACTATAGCACTTTTTACAATCTACGTCCTTTGGACGCTGGTAAGTGTGGAAGAGGGCTCTGCTCGCTGCTCCCGGGGGCCTTGTTCTTGTTCAAAATGTGAGGCTGAAGTCTTGGCTCACGCTGCTGCGGTGCAGCTGGGCCCGCGCGACTCCCCTCGTGAGAAAACCTTGGGCTCTTTCTCTTGAACGTCCATTTAATTATCTTTAAATGGAAGCTGTTAAAGTTGTCACTTAAAAAATGAGCTGTCTGGGAATGAGAAACCACTTCCTGGTGATCTCCTTTCCAGATTGACATGGGAGTCACGTTCCCCAGGGTGTAGTGTGCCCAGGCACAGGCGGGCCCAAGCGCTGCTGAGGCTGGGTGGGGAGGCCTGGAGCTGGCTGTTCCAGCTGCTGTGCCTGTTCCTATTTTCAAGAAAGAGCAGAAGCACAATCTTGGCACCCACGTGGTTTAGAGAAAAGTAAAATCTGGAAAATGTTTGGTCCCTTCAGAATCTGCCATCACATCCCTCCACGCTTTGTGGCCCACAGCTGAACAAATCCCTGCAAAAATATTTTAAAAGCATTGTTAGCATGGAAGGGTGTGTGCAAGGAATGCTCCAGCCCAGGGAGACCTCTGACTTCTCACACCAGATTTTCAGAATGGAACCCTGAGCTGAGGCCAGCCTGCCCTGGCCCACCACCGCTGCTTTACAGCTGCACTGCTGGGGCTGGAGGCGCTGGGGACCAGTGGGAACCCACACTCGGTGCTGCCTGGATGTTTAACTGCTCCATGCTGGGAAAGGGCTTCCCACAGATGCCTCGCTGTACTTCCTTCTGGACATGCTGAACTAGGCAGCCAGGAGCTTACAGCTTGGAGCAGGGCCAGAATAGCAGGAAAGCAAACACACGGTGGTGGTGCAGCACGTATCTGTGAGCGCTCCCAGCTGGGCCCCTCCCTCTGTTCCCAGTTCAGTTCTTTCACGTTCTGTTATCAGGTGGGTTTCTGGGTTTGAATCTCATTTTAGCTCTCCTCCTCTCAGCCCTGCATGTGCTCAGTACCCTTCTCCAGCCACTTGCACCGTTTTGGGAAGGGAAGGGGTGCAGTCGCTGGGGGAGAAGCGGTGGGACCCTAGAAGATGGCAGTTCTGCAGTCAGTAAAAATGCCCCAGCCCACCTGCCTGCCATCTGATGCTCTGATTTCTCAGAAACAGAGCTTTCTCTGGGGTTAGGACATTCCTTGCAACTAATCCCATGCAGATCCTGGTGCCAAGGAAGGGTGAGCTGGGGGGCTTCAGCCTTCCCTTTGGTGGGACACATGCTGCTGTCGAAACACACAGAGATAGCAATGCACAGGGAGCTGTGAAAGAAAAGCTCTGGCTACATAAGGTTCACTTCTGTAGAAAGCCAAACTAAAATTGGAAACTTTAAGAGGAAGTGCTTCCGTCTTCTCTGTCCCAGGACTAGTCTGGTGCTGCCCCAAATCTGGAGGAAACGGAAAAATGTTTTCAGTGATATCATGCGTCATGACTCAAGTTGCTCTGCTTCTGCTGCACTTCCCACTTCCTTGAACAGGGAGGGATGTTAAGTGGAGCCCCTTTATTCAGCTTTACTGTACTCAGCTGCAGTTCCTCTGTGCCACTGCGGGCTGTGTGACCCACAGGGCTGGTACACGGTTGGTGGTGATGTGCTGTAATCAGCGTGAGGATTGCAAGAGATGCCACGGCCGAGCTTGCAGCTCCTTCCTGTGGAGCAGGGTCTTTCCGTGAGGTTTGCATTACTTAGCTCCTCGTTTGCATGCTCTCTGAAGACTGCAAGATCCATTTGCTTCTTGTTTATAAGCAAACGACCTTATTCCCACAGTTGTACCTCTACTGCAGGCAGAAGGGGAGCACAGATCAGTGGGCTGGATCACCCCAATGCTGTGGCGCAGCTCTGCCTCTCATAGCAGATGTCTCAGTCTTATACAAAAGCCATGGGAGTGCTGATGTTTCCTTGCCCGATCTGCTTCCCGGTTCTTCCTACTTGTCAGCAAAATGACACATTTCTTTTACAAAATGAGAAAGCTTGGTTCTGATGAGTGGCTGCCTGGATTCAGTATTTAATTTTCTTTGCCACAATTTCTAGGAAAATAGACAGCAGGGAAATACATGCTGCTTTTATTCCTCCCTCGAAAAAATAAAATGATCTAGAAACATTTAATTTCAAAGCTAAGGAATTGGCAGGAGCTGTGAGAAAGTCTGTGGTGGGGTTTGTGATTGCAGAAGGGCACGGCGAGAGGCGCAGCCCATGCGGGAAGTGCAGCTCAAAACTCCCCCTTGCAGGGCTGCTCCGAAACTGCAGGGCCAGCTCCTGCCCCTGGGCCAGGCTGCTGCAGGCACCTCCAGCCCCATCCTGCTGCTGCCCAGAAAGCTCCTTTGGCCACGCCAAGCTTATACATCTTCTGTTAGCACGAATTAATTTATTCCTCATTAGAGGCTTGGGTGACGGAGTACCCCAAACTGTTTTGGGGTCAGGGCTGCGTCCCTTGTCCAAGGGGGTGCTGGTGGGACAAGAATTGGGCAGAGCCTGCACGGGGTGGATGCTCTCCGTGTCTCCCCGGCCCTCCGCCTGTAACCAGCCTTGTTGCCCACCAGGTCTCGTTCCGCTACCACTGCCAGCTGTACTCGGAGTGGCGAAGGACCAACCAGAAAGTCCGCCTGATGATCCCGGCCTCGCGGAGCCCTCACCCCGTGCCCCACTCCCTGCTCTCCGCCAAGCTCCTGAAGAAGACCGCGGACGAAACCACCGTCTGAGCCGTGGCTGCGCCCGCGGCCAGGGTGAGGGCGGCCCCCCCGGGGCCAGCAGAAGCAGAAGGGGCCGGGTCTCCCCCACGCGTGCAGGGAGCGCAGCAGCCATGGAAGCACTGGGGAGCAGTCGTCCCACCCGAAGGGACTTGGCGGTCGGCATGTACTTCGTACGATGGCAAACACAGAGGATAAAGGTCTGTCGTGTGAAACGGCCCAAAAGAGCCAGATGGCGGAACACGCCTGTCTGCAGGGACACTTTGCTATAACTAAATACCGTACGTGGAAAATCTCTCACATATATATATATATCTATATATAATATTATTTTTTAATGGCCATGAATATTGTGTTTCAGTCCTTTTGTGTTGATGTTCTAAGCTTCAGTATAGAAGCTGGCAGCCTGATCTCATTCAGAGGTTAAATCTATGCCTTTTCTCTAAATGAGCGTATAAAGAACACTTTTCATTGACCGTTCTCGAAAGTCCCTTCTCCTTTGCACTAAATTGGTTTTGATAATATTGCAGCAGCCTTTCCCGTTACTCTTTGGTCTCTTTCGTGGTGTTTCTGTGCTTTCTAGAAAGTTATGTGTTTTTAATAATTATTATAATCCCAGAAGGAGTAAAATGACATAATACTGAATGGAGACATTTTGTATTGTAAAGTACTGTAATTTTGAGGATTTCAAAATAAGTTTCAAAAGCGGAAAATCTGTTCCTGTGCAGACGTGATCTCACAAAATGCTTTCCCTGCAGATCCTGGCTCATCCCCAGGACTCAGATGCGCTCAGCTCTTGGCTTGTCTGACAAAGGTAGATAGATGGAGGATCTGAGGGTGGGAAATGACGGCTCATCCTAGCTAAACCCACCGTTGCCTTTTGCTTTTAAAGGGTTCAGAAAGGCTCTTTCCCAACCCCAAAAGCTGAGAATAGGAGTCTCTGTTTTTGCTGACGTCCTTACACAATCTTGAGGCTGGACCTCTTGTAGTGTCAGTTATCCACATACCTTCCAGGGACAGGCCATGCTCTGCAGCTCTCGGCAGGACATCTCGGCTGTCTCTGTGCGCTTTATTTGCACATTCCTTGGCAGCAGAGGAGCTGCTGTCATTTGGTTCATCCCTGAACTCGCTGCCTGCCCATTATGTGTCCTCTGGCGAAACACCCCAAGTTCACTGGTTCCCAGAGGCGTGCAGGCTCCGGGTCCCTTTCCTTGCAGGGCTGGCTTTCCCCCTCCTCCTTCATCCTCCTGCATTTCCAGCATGCCCAGCTCCCAAACCCCTCTGCCCCAGAGTGGCCAATCTGCTGCAGGTCTCTAGCACATAGCAGAGTCTCTCCCTCTTCCTGAGCTTGGTGTTAGTCCGTGCCTCTCCAGCTCCTCGCTGCTGTGCCAGGCAATGTCTGTGTTTGGTGCTGTGCTCTCCCGAGCCCTGCTTGCAGAACAGACCGTAAGGATGCCAGCATTGGCACTGCTCTGCTGAGTGCAGCTGCTCAAGCATGAGACAGCTCCTGGTCCCGCAGCAGTGAGGGTAGAAAGCAGGGAGGAGGCAGGCTCCAAGGGTGTCTTTGCAGTGGGTGGTCACAGAGCGTGTCCCTCAGTTCCTTTCCTGATCCCAAGTGGATCAGTTGATGCCCTGCAAGACTGAGGCCTGTAATTTCTTGAATTGGCAGCACCACGTGCTGTTCCTGCTTCCTTCTAGCTGCAAAGCTGGATATTTTTCCTTGTGTGCCCCTGTTCCTTGGTTGTTTTTTTTTTGTTTTGTTTTGTTTGGTTTGGTTTGTTTTTTTTTCTGCCTGACCCTAGGCTGGAAGTCCCTGGTGGACACGAGCAGCAGTGGCCAGTATCCTCTCTCTCTGAATAGGATTGCTCCAACCCCAGGGCTGGCTCTGTGTCTGCTTTCCTCCTTTTATCTCCTGGCCCATGGTTATTCATGTGGCTCAGTGGTACCCCAGCACATCCTGCAGCAAAACCTGTGCAGCTGTGGGCAGGTCTCTGCTCTGAGCACGAGGGTCTCATTGGATCATGGGCTGAATGCTGTGGCACAGCCGGGCTGTGTGTCTCTGTTCCCCTCTCTCTGCTAGGCCCTGTCTGGCCTGTTCCCTTCTGCTGCTTACCCCGGGCACCTTCCCTGCCTTTCAGCTGTCACGAAGTGGGGGCTTGGCCCCTAGTGCTCCTGGAGGCTTGCAGTGAGGAGGCCTCTTCAGTCCAGCCTCAGCATCCTACAAGTGCTCACTTCAAATCAACTGTTCCTGCTGCCCCCAGCTCCTGCCTGCTGCTCCCCCTGCGTGGAGGTTTGTCTGTGCACCGAGGCCATGCAGTGGGCCCTCTGCCCCCAGCTCTGCTGGCTGCACTGCGGGAAGGGAGCTGCAGATCCAACGCGGGTGCTGCCTCCTTTCCCTTGGCAGTGGGCACCGCAGCACCACCCTGCCTTGTCCTAGGTACCCCTGCACTCAGCCTGTCCTAACAAAACCCGTGTCACCGAGACATTCCCGCTGCAACAAAAATCTGGGGATCTGGTTTAACCTTCCCAGCCCTGGCTGCCTCCCAGGAGCTTTGTCTTCCAACGCATCTAGTTCTGGCAGGTATGTAAGGATGTGCACTCCCACACCACGTTCCCATAGTAAGGACTTAAAGGAGCCAGTTGTTCCGGCTAGGAAACCCACTGTTGATCCAAATATGCAACTGTGAAAGCCAGAAGTCCCTGGCTGGGGCAGATGGGACCTGGCCCTGTGCTGCTGCACGGCCATGGCTTCACTCTGCTTCATTGTCTTTATTGTAGTTGCCAATAATTGGAGTTGTTGCATGTGCCCCTGCAAAACCCAATAGTGACTCTTTGAGTTCTTCTTCTCCTTCCCAGAGGAGATGTTCAGCTTGTGAATGTGGGAAATCAGTGTCTCTGACCCGCCACATTCCAGTGTCATGGGGAAACGGGCTGTGCAATTATGTAAATAAAAGTGAGACAAACTTTGGGCTGTTGTGTTGTTACTGGAGGAGACGGGAGGGCCCAGGCTATCTCTGTGATAACGAGCCATGTATGCTGCCTTCCCAGGGCAGCTTTCCTTAACTGCCTCCAGGAGAGCTGGCAGAAGGTTTTGTGTTGGAGCCGAAGCTGGACAAATCCCAGGGCTTTTGTTTTGTCTGTGCACAGAAACTTGCCTCGTGTGAGCCAAGTGAGGTGAGTTCTGGGACAAGAGGCTCCTTACAGCCTCACCAGGATGGGCATGGGGCTGCACAGGTTGGTCCTGGTGACCCTGCAATGCAGCCCCAGGGAGGCTCTGACTCTGCACTTTCTCTTTCCAAAAAACATCTATAACCCTAACCCTAAGTATGACCCAAAAAAACATGTCCCTTGCCAAGTTCTCCCATCAGAAAGTGCTCCGAACAGAAGCCTTTGGGTAGACCTGAACTCCCTTGGGGAGCCTTTTTGCAATCCCACATGCAACAGGACTCTGCGCCTTCTCTCTTTGAGAACGTGGGTGTATCACATCTCTTATCACCCGCAAGCCTCTGGGAAGGCTGAGAGGTACAATGGACTGTTAAAGACTATGTTACGAGCACTGGGTGCTGGGGTGTGGAAACACTGGGACATAAATCTACCAGAGGCCACTTGGCTAGCTAACAACAGAGGGGCTGACAGCCATAACCCTAACCCTGACACAAAAAAGTGTCAGGGTTAGGGTTAGCGCCAATGTGTACAAAAGCCTTCTGGTGACACCCAGTATCCTCAGGGATGCCCTAGAGGCCTCCCAGGGCACTATAGGACACCCTATGAGCCTCCTCTTGTAACCTGGAGGCAAAATAAGGACGTTTCCTGGGATCTAGAGCCCTCTGGAGGCCTCATAGGGCTCTCTAGTGCACTCTCGTTAACACTTGAGGCCTCCTGTGGTCCTCCCCTGCACTCTAGATCCTCTGCAGGTCTACCAGGGCCACCCAGTGCCCTCTAGCTCCTTCTGAATGCCTCCCAGTGACTCCCAGTGTCCTTTAGGATGTCCTAGAGGCCTTCAAGGGTACTCTAGGGTGCCCTACAAGCCTCCTCTTGAACCCTAGAGGCAAAATAATGTGAGAAAAAAATCTCAATAATTTTCTTCAGACAGGATCTTCTGTGAAGCTATTTTATTCATGATTGCAACGGCGGGAGTCCTGCAAGCAGGAGCACACAGTAAAATTTTATTATAACCTTATATTCCCTATTACCCAACACCTGGTTTCTCCTGTTTCCTCGTTGTCTGAGTACCACAGGTTCACAACCTACTCGACGCACTTCTATACCGTATGTGTACAATTTGATTTGACCAACTGTTAATTCCTCCTTTTCCTTTTTTTTCCTTCTTCTCTTGTGACTAGAGGGTCCGTGATTTTTGTATTTACTGACTTCATACTGCTCATCCTGTTTTCCTTAGCTAAACTCCTTATTTTGGGACAGTGGGACCATCCCCTTATATGCTTAACATACTCCCCACTGCTATGCCACACAATCATTTTTGAGTATGCATGGTTAGTGGAATTTTCCACTGCAAAAACACCTTCTACTGCAAAAAACACACCTTTGTTTCTCCCAAGACTTCTTCAAGCCCCACGTTGAGTGGTGCCAAAAAGGACTGTGGTGGGTTGACCTCAGACAACATCTAACCTGCTGGAAAAAAGGGATGTGTGGAGCCACCACATCCTGAGGTTGGTGGTTATTCTGGCACAGGACATTTCCAACAAGCTGCAAAACCAAGGCAAAGGTGCTGAGTGGTGGTCATGGAACTCCATGGAGTTCTGGTCTTGTAATCTTGCTGTTGTGTGCCAAAAGATGAGAGCCTGGCCTAAAATGTCATGTAGGTGGACAGCTGTGAATGAAGCTCAAGCTTTCTCATCATCTCTTTCCATTCATAGGAACACACAGTCTGTGCACCTTCAAAAAAACAAGCGCCAGCCAGTAGGAACTGCTTTAGGACCACCCAGCTGTCACACAACACGTGGAAGAACTGCAAGCAAGGCTCAGCATGGACTACTGCCCTCCCAAGAGGGAAACCCTTTCTCTAAGCTGCCCGTCACCTTTTGACCCCTGCTCGCCTGTTAGCCTGCCGTTCGACAAAGCCATCCTAAAACATTGACCCCCCAGTTCACAAATTAATTCAGTAGGAAGTCTTCAGAAATGTAGAGGCAAGGCTAAGCTAATACAGGTTCTCTAAGGGCTATGCTTCAGGGAGACAACCTGAGCCAGGATTCTTTATCCCATACCCAGAGCCAAAGGTGGATTCTCTCTCCCTTGAACGATGCTGGCAGGAAAGTGAAGATGGGGACATCCGTATCAGCATTTGAAAAGGCTACTTGACCCTTTTCATAATCCAGAGAAACACGCATCCTTCTTGGGATGCAGGTCAGTGGCAGTGGGGTGCATTTAGGGGATGTCAGAGCCCGAAAAACTTTGTCCAGCTTCACCACAGCCCAGAGCCCCTCCTGGGGGCTGAGTGGGATCCGTCCCTTCCTCTGCAGAGAGGCCCTGGCAAGTCCCACGCCCCAGCTCTTTGCACTGTCCACGGTGACCTCCCAGGTGTGCTGCCCAGAAGTGAAGCCCTCGTAGCCCAGCACACAACACCACGTATCAAACCTCTCCGGTCCTTCAGGCCACTTTTGCCACTCTTCTCCCCATCTCACGCCTTTACCATCCTTTGAGAGGAGCAGCCAGGGGTGAGCGGTGTCTGGATCCAGAGTCATGTTTGCTAGGAGAGAGAGAGACCTGATCAGTGGCTTAGGGTGGAGATTGGGATGGGGCTGGTGGCAGTGGTGGGGAAGAACCCCACCAGGGAATGAACCCTGCTGCTAGGATGCACCCAGTCTGGGAAGAAGACTCTGACCCACAGCAAAATGCCGGTGAGGTCATTCTCTTTCTGTCACTGCACTGTCTGTGCTGAACAGCACTCAGGGGACTGGGTTTCAGAGTGGTCATTTTTTCTCCACCTCGCGTTTTCCCAGAAAACTGAAGTTTGACAACATAAACAGCATTGCTGGTCGTGATAGAAGACCAGAAAGGAGGCCAGGAGTCAAGTTTCTGTTTCTCTGTGAGATAGAAGAGCAAAGAGAAGAGTGAGCAACATGAGTATTGCTGTGACAGTCATTTAGCTGGATGAGAAACAGGTGAGGAACTCACAATCCAGCTGCCTTGGCTAGGAAGGATGTCCAACACTGAGCACCTCCTGAATTACAAGATGGAAGCAAGAACAAGCAAGAAAAGACAAAGGGAGGAAGAGAAAGGAAAAGCGCACAGCAAGAAGAAGAGGGGGCAAGAAAATGGTGATCCACTGAGAGGAGAGACAAACAAAAGCCTCCCTCCCCATTTGGGTTTCTGGTTGAGCAGATTACTTCAGGGAAGGGCCATCCCATAATCAATGTATAATCATCTCTGCCAAAAAAAAAGGAACTCGAGGATGGACTTTGAGGGCTTGGCTCAATGCTGCATTGTAGTGCTGCAAATGGATCTTAGAACCCCATAACTGAACCACCACTGACTCTTTTACATAAGCCAAAGTACAACCACACCTTTCTAGCCATTCTCACTTTGAGTCTACTTTCTTCCCCTTTTTCCTCTCCGTGATACCTTGCAGTAGGTAAAACTGCTTGTATCTGCATCCACCATTTCCTGCTCTGGCTCCCAACCATCTCTCTTTGCCTGTGCAGAACTCTCAAGGCTATGTTTTCATCCCACTGTCTCCCAGACTCTTATTCACTTGACCTTTCTTTTTTTTTTTTTTTTTTGATTCCCTTCATGGGTACTTGGAAATTAGACAGAATTCAGCCATCCTATTCTTTGAGCCACAAGTCTTCCCTTTGCAGCTGGTGGGGAGGAGTAAAGCAAAAGATGAGAAGAGTTGGGTAGGGAAATTGGGATTGTGGTTTTTGAACCAATGTAACAGGGGCTGCCCTTGAAGATGCTCTTAAATTACCTTTTCCTAGTTTGTCTGCAAATCTCTTCCACCCTGAAAATTAAAAAAAGGTTCAAATGAGAAGTGACACAAACAAAACAGTTTCCTCTGGACTAGTTTATAGCTATGTCACCAAACCAATGGGCAACTATAAGGCAACAGGTGGGTTCAGAATGTCTTGGGCTACACACTGAGATTACCTCTCTATTCATATGCATTTCCTCCTTGCCTCTTGAATTACCCTGACCAGACTTTGTCTCTCCAGAAAAACAAGTTAAACTGCAGCAAAAACAAACACACAGAGCTATTTATAGTTCCTGTTTCTTACAATGGGCATCTGTGATCAAACTCCACTGAATTCAGGGCAGTAAATATATGCATGATAAAAGAGGAGAGCCTAGCTTCTGCATTCATCTCTTCTCTGAGTCACTAAGTTAGTAGTATTTCCTCCAGAGCATGTGTAAACCTGGAGAGACGCTCTACAGTTGCCTTAAAAGACGCTATAGTGAGGTAGGGATTGGGCACTTCTCCCAAGCTCCAAGTGATAAGGTGAAGAGAAATGGCTTCAAGTTGTGCCACGGGAGGTTTAGGTTGTATGTTAGGAAACATTTCTTTACCAAAAAGGTTGTGTAGCACAGGAACAGGCTGCCCAGGAAGTGGCTGAGTCACCATCCCTGAAGTTTTCAAGAAACGTGTAGATGTAGAACTTAGCATGGTTTAGTAATGAACTTAAATACTACATTAAAGGTTGGACTAGAGGATCTTGGAGGTCTTTACCAACCTAAATGATTCTGTGATTCTATGAAATGGAGGAAGATCCTGCAGAGACTAGCAGAGGAGTATCAGATAAAATTTAGCTGTACATCTCTTGTTTTCCTTGTTCTTGTCCCTATTTTTCCCTTTCACTCTTTCCACTCCATGAGTTTCATGTATCCAGGAAAAGTAAGCTCACTTCCTGTCTCCTCCATTCAGCATTTTCCTCCACTTGACAAGGAGCAGCCCATGATCCTGCTCACCCTACCTGGATGTGTTTGCTAAAAGGCAGTTTCTTTGCAATAACCCAGATTTTCCTCTCTTGCAACTTGGGGAAACTTTTACCTTTGATCTTCAACAGATAAGCAATGAAGCCAATGACACCAAACACTGTCAGGATCACACTTGGAACAACCATGCCTGGAGAAGCTCCTCGTAAAAAGTCTAGGAACAAAAAAAAATCCCAAGCTTACTTTTTTTTTTTTTTTTCTGGAAACAGCAAGAGGGATGGCTGCAAGCCCATCACTAGCAGATCGTAGTACATATCAAAGCAAACAGGAGATCCTGTTTATGGTATACCAAGGTAAACGTACAAAATCTGTTCCACTTTTTAACTTGCAATGGCCCCACAATGCAAAGACACCTCGTGCACCAGAAGAGAGCTGAATTTAAATTTAAATTATTATATTTCTCACCAAAATGCTGGAATTATTCAGGCACCAAAGAGTTGATATTTTTTCTTTGCACAGCAAAAAGGAACCAAATAAACCTCTTTCTCATCTTCCAAAACACAAAATTCCCGACAAGAGGATCCAGGGCATCAACCTGTTCAAAAACCCAGCTTTCCTCCAGTCTCACCATGCCTGCACTGGGGCAACTAACCTGACGTTTGAAAAGCAGTTTCCTTTTCTTCATTGAGGTATGTGTTCCTCACCACACAGGACAAGTCCTTTGGAGTACTTCCCACGACAAGGAGGGTGCTCTGTGCTTCAAAGAGGCCCCTTGCATCCTGGGATCGGTTTTCAGCCTCTGAAGGTATGTGCTGATGGCTGGAATCTCTCCACAGGACCTGGGGCTCTGGGTACCAACCAGATGATCGACACACAATTCTGGTGCCTCCTTGGATATTCTCCATGGAGATATGAGGAGCAGACCCCATGGCTAGGATGACATTAAAAGAAAAATTGGGTTAAGCTATTCATGTTTTCAAAATCTAAGATCTACTTTTAGATTCCAGAAACCGCCAATGGGGAGTTGCAACTATTCTGTGCAGGGCAGACTAGAAGAATAAGCTTTTCCATCTTATCCCAAGCCAGTATTAACCTACAGGTATCCTTCAGATTTCAGAAGCACATGTGTCTGACAAACCTGTCACCTTCAGTTCCAGCTGAGCTTCTCTGTAGCTGATGCCATGACGAACCAAGCAGGTGTACTGCCCCTCATCAGAGGCTCGGACAGCAGAAAGTCTCAAATCCATGCAGCCCTGGCGGATGCGGTGCATCAGCAGTTCTGTTCTGCCTCGGTACTCCGGAGTCTGCTCCCTGTCCTGGCCCTTCTGCTCGCTGTAGTGATGCACAAGTGACGAGTGCGGCATCTGGAGCCAGCTCACCTCTGAGGGCTGAGCGCTTGCCCCCAGGTCAGGGCAGCAGGGCAGCACAGCAGCCTCCCCCACAGCAGCAAGGACAGGGTGACTGGGTGCTGGCACTGCAAACCCATCTGGGGAATGGCACCGGGGTGGAGGGGGAGAGAAAAGATTAATTAGAAGCAAACCTCCAAAGAGGGGGGAGATGTTAGAGAATGCAGGGCTGGACCTCGACTTTAGCCACTATGGATTTGCTGACCACCTGAGATCCATGGATTCAGGAGGGGGCTGTAGTCAACTCCCCCACTGAGGAAACCTGTGTCACCTCACCCAGCATCTCAGCAGGGTTTTCCTCTTTTGTCACCGTCCAGGTGACAATGCTGTCCTGACCCCCACATTCTTGTGGATTAAAACAAAGAGATTGACCCCTGGCACGGAAGATATTTGGAGGACACTGGGATAGTTTTGCTTGTATGCCTGCCCTGGTTTTCATGGGGAGGTGATAAACTGTTTCAGTGAAAGGCTTTCTGCTCAGTAACTCACTCTCCCGCCTGGCCTGACCACTGCATATAGACAAGTGGTCCAAGCATCTGCTTGGTGGAAGAAGGAGCTGATTGAAGAGGCAAGGCAAACAGTTTTAATAACTTTAATCCCTTACAAAACATCTCTGACATGCATGCAGACTCATGCAAATATTCTTGGCACTTCTGCTACTTGAATATATCCAGCCACTCGCCTGAGCTCAAAATAAATGGGGAGGCACATCAAAAAGCGAGCCAAAGATTTAGTCCTGGAGTTAATCTGGGCTGAGAGCAATCTCTCCCTAGGACTCTGAGCCACCGCATTGGGTGGGAAGCAGGGGGGGAAGCACAAAGCTGATCCGAAACGGGCAGAGTCCTACCTGTCCCCGGCTTGTGAGTGAGGAGCATCATGACGCACGTAACAAAGGAATGGAAAAACGAAAGAAAATGCATCTCTGCCAATGTATGACCTATAAAGGAGGAAAAGGGCAGGAGGGAAAAAAATGCAGAGGGTTACTCAGGTGTAGAAGGAACACAAAAAAACGGGAGACAGTCTGTAGAAAAGGGTGTTGAAAAGTGTTACCTGGGTGACCGATAGAGGAAAATCTTGCTCAGGACAGCTGGGCTTCTTCTGGGTTACAGTGAGCCAGATCAAAACACTTCCTTTTTATCTTCAGTTTAGATTAGGGCAGGCTGGAAGGAGAGCTGGGGGCTGCGCTCCCCCTCCTGGCTTCGCAGCCACGGGGGGTCCCACAGCCGGGACTGGTGCCAGTGGTGCCCCAAAGCCCCCCGAGGAGTCCCACAACCACTGGGGCACCTGCAGCTCGGGGGGGGGGGACACCCTGCAGCCCGGGGACCCTGCACCTGCCTTGTCCCAAAGCCACAAGAGGGGTACCGAAGCCACGAGGGGGTCCAAAAGGCACAGAGGGGTCCAGAAGTCACTGGAGGGTCCCGAAGCCACAACAGGGGTTCCAAAGCCACAGGGGGGTCCCGAAATCACCAGAGGGTCCCAAAGCCACGAGGGGGAGGGGTCCTGAAGGCACAGAGGGGTCCCAAAGCGACAGGAGGGTCCCAAAGGCACCGGAGGGTCTTGAAGAGATGGGGGGGTCCCAAAGCCAGGAGGGGGGTCCCGAAGTCACAGGAGTGTCCCGAAGGCACGGAGGGGAGGTCCCACAGCCGTCGGGATCTCGCAGCTGTGAGGCGCCGCTGCCTCCCCGAGCTCCCCTCCCGGTTCCGAAAGCGAAAGAGCCGCAGAGCCAAGCCGGGAGCCGCACCCTGGGCCCCGCGGCCATGGCAGGCAGCAGCGAGGCGGCGGCGGAGCTGCAGGAGGAGGCGACCTGCGCCATCTGCTTGGATCTGTTCCGCAGCCCGGTGATGCTGGACTGCGGGCACAACTTCTGCCAGGCCTGCATCGGCCTGTGCTGGGCGAGATCCGCTGGGGCTCCCTCTTGCCCCCAGTGCCGCCAGGCCCTGCCCAGCCGCAGCCTGAGGCCCAACCGGCAGCTGGGCAACATCGCGGCCGGGCTCAGGCGGCTTGGCCAGACTGTGGAGCCCCGCCAGGTGAGGGGGAGCCAGGGAGGCCTCTGGAGCACCCCCGGTACCCGCTTTGGTGCCCGGGCTCTGTCAGAGCCTGTGTGGCCTGGGCTCGGGCCATGTTGTGTGGGTCTTGCCCAGGGAGGCTGCGGAGCCTCCTCAGGAGATAGCCAGCACCCGCCTGGACACCCTCCTGTGCTATGGGGTTCTGCTCGGCGCAGGGTTTGGGCCAGGAGATCTCCAGAGATCACCTCCAACCTCGGCCATTCCGGGGTTCGTTCTGCTCACAGCTTTCTCACACATCGCTTGCAAATTATGATTTTACATCTACATGCCTCCGAGCTTTGCAATCTGTCGGCAAAAGGCCACGCTCCCTGCAAGTTCACCCCGTGACTGCACCTTCTCTCTTCACTTCTTTTCACCTTCCCTAAACGCTTACCAAGTTTTCGTAATGGAAGCCTGTCCTCAGGACTCTGGTAGACGGTTGGCATATGTGATGTTAACCGTTTGCTGCCCCCGTGGGCTCTCCGGTGCCCCTCGGTGTGTTGCCGTCTCCCAGACCAGGGTGGTGACAGTGTTTATAATAACCTTTAATATTCTATTGATTTGTGGCTTCTCACTCCAAGGGAATTTTTTATTGCTCTGTGCTTTGCATTTGGCTGTCTTCCTCCCACAAAGCTGTTGCTGCAATTACTAAATCTATATGATTATTTAAATTTAGATATCTCTTTCCTCTCTGGTGTTCCTTAGACATCCAGGATTTGTGCAGAAGCACAGCTTCACTGGGGGTCGACTTTCTCTAGTGGGAGACTTGGACTGCACAGAAGTTGCTTATTTTCTTTAAAGGAGGAGCAAAATGCATAGCAACCAGCATGTCCTTCCCCCCATCCCCACGGTAAGAGGCAGGAATCCCATGCACAGCTTCTCCTTTCCTTATGGTCCCTGCTAAGGGATGTGGCCACCACTGCGTGCACAGCACTGGCCCAGCACCTGCCTGCCCAGCAGCTGGTGCCCTGCCTGGGGACTCATACTGATCCCCCTGTGAGCTGGTTTTGGGGACACACGCTGTTTCTACACCAGTACTGGTGGCTGAGACCCCCCCCAACACACACACACTCCAGCAGCTGCCACCGCAGCCCTGGGGCACCTACACCCCATCCAACTGCAGCAGCTGGCACCAAACCCACCCATGCCAGTTGCCCCAGTAGCCAGCACTGGGTCCTTAGCACTCGCACACTCAGGACAGACACTGTGGTTATGCAGATTTAATAACTTAAAGGATTTAATTAGAAGACAGGACAGACTGCAGCAATCACGTGCAGAGCTCACTCAGGCCAGTGCACTAGCCAGCCCTGTGGTACATGCAGCTGGCCCCTTTTATATCCTTTTCTGCCTGCTCCTCGACTTCTCCCTGCAGCTCCCTCATTAGTTTGCTCATTCCCACACCTGTGAGCACCCTGTGCCCTCAGGGCAGCACCCTCATTAGCTGCTAAGTTGTGGCTTACCTGCCCTTTCTGAGCAGCCCATATGTTTATGACTGACCAGGTTTGTTCCCAGTCTTTGTCTCTTAGATTTGTCTCTCTGCGTGTTCTTGCTTATGGCTTCCTGCTTTTCTTATTGTCCCCTTTTTGCATTGAAAAGGTCCTTGACCAGATACCCATAAAGGAGCAGGTGCTGTCCTACCACATACCCTTACAGTCCTCAGTTCCATACACTTGCAAAATGGTACTTGACAGCACCATGCCTACACTTAGCCTGCCCCTAACATGCATGTCGAACCCTAAACTCTGAGGGAGTTGCTTTGTGGGGTGGCAGGGACATGACATTGCCTTTTGCTGCCCAGTTCTGCTTTGAGAGCCATCCTCTTGGTTGTTCAAGCAGGAAATGAGGCTGACTCGGTGCCAGAGGCTGTGTATGTTCGCCCCAGGGAATAAGCTGTTTTTTGGATACATGTGGTGGGGAGCACCTAAAGGATTTCTCTCCCTCCAGGAGCAAAACCAGTCCGAGCTAGAGAGCCTCAGGAGAGAGAGAGGAGAGCTGGAGGAACAGCTAAAGAAGGAGCGATGTACCTGCCAGGGCTATCTGGTAGGTGCACGGGGCTACCTGAAGGAAATTTATTTGGGAAGGGTGGGGAAAATTTGATTCTTGGCCCTTGGAGATGAAATCACTGTGTCCAGCTGTTGGTACAAAATATGCACATCAGGAAAGTAAAAGATAACTTTTAACTACTGCCCAACCCACCTTTTAATTACTCTTTGTGGTCCCACCCCACTTTGAGAGGGTTGTTTCTGCTTATAAAGGACAAAGTAAAAGCAGAGAGGCAGAAGATTGCGTCTGAATTCAAGCAGCTGCACCAATGCCTGGAGGAACAAGAGTGCCTGCTGATGGCTCGGTTGGGAGAGCTGGAGAGGCAAATTGAAACAAGAGCGAAGGAAAAGGCTGATAAATTGTCTAAGAGGATTTTTCATCTGGATGGCCTGATCAGGGAGAAGGAGGAGTCTCAGCTCTCAGGATGTGAGTTCCCACAGGTGAGGTCTACTAGAAACACCATCACTGTCTTAACAAATGGCATCTGAGGTACCAGCAGACTGGAAACACACAGCAGGCTAATTTTACATAGATGCTGGTGTGACAGGAATGTGAGGATTGTGTACAGGATAAATTGCATTAAGCTGCTTCTGTCTTTCTCCCATCTAGGATACTGGTGACATTCTGGGCAGGTACGTACCTTTTTCTCCTGTATATCACAATATGATTTTGGGGGTACAAAAATTCCTGCTCCAAAACAAAGACGAATTCCTCACGTGCCAGGGATGCCCCCAAAATGTTCATGTTTCAGTTTTCCAGAAGTTGATGAAGTGGTATGGCTCTGACAACAAGGTCAATTCTTGAGTAAGCACTTGCAGAGGACGTTTCATTTCTAAGGTCTCTGGTTGCGAGCCTGGCTGTCTTCTCCATGACCAATGTTTGGTGATACTAAGGCACAGAGACCAGAGCAAATGTAGGTTTGCTCTGAAGGGACAGAGTGACTGAGGACACCAGCACTGATAATAGGAACTGAATCAGCAGTTAGAGCATCAGGCTAGGCAGTTAGAGCAGTGGCCTAGCCGATGAAACCTGCTGTCTCTTTTCTCACTGTATTGTGTAAAGCTGAATTGGAATGAATTTTCTGGAGGTAACGGATCCAGCATCAGAGCTGTTCAGCTAGAAAAAGGTCTCTAGCAACTGGCATTAACAGGAGATTGAGTTGAAGGAGGAAGATAAATGCTGTGGCTTGTACATCTCCAGGTGCGAGAAGGGAAAATTCCAGCAAAAGGAGTGGACGAGCCACAATCTGGAAAAGGCAGCTGGTGTCTGCTCAAAAAAACCTCCTGAGCTAGAAGAGACAGCAAGGAAACTCCAAGGTACAAGGAAGGGATCCCAGAGGAGATCACAGAAATGCCCCAGGGGTGGAAAGAAGGGGGTGGGCAATGCCCTGCAGAAGGGAGATAAAGCTGAATATCCTTCCCTTCCCTTCCCTTCCCTTCCCTTCCCTTCCCTTCCCTTCCCTTCCCCTTTTTTTTTTTTTTTTTTTTAGTGCATCTAGCAAGAATTTCACATTCCAAGTTGTATTTGCTGCCTCTTGTCCTTATCACTGTGCAGCACCAAGAAGAGCCTGCCCCTGCTCTCCCATTAAATAGCTATAGGCATCAAAAAGTTCTTTCCTTTACTTTTCTTAAGGCTGAACAAACCCAGTTCTCAGTGGTTCCCCATACTTCATCTTGTCCAGCCCAAACCATCCTGGTGACCCTCTGGATGTACTGCAGTATGTCAGTGTCCACTTCATACTAGGTAGCACCAAACGTTTTTGGTCCTGCTGCTGTAGGTCCTCCTTTCCTACTCCAACTGGAGAAGGAGGTGAGCAGAGCAAGTAGTGCATGTGCTGGGAAAGAGGGGTGTAGCATCTCTGCTTGCTCCCTGGAGCTGGTCTCCCCAGAGCAGCTCCCAGTATTGGCATTATTATCCAGATGTCAGAGTTGATCTCTGGGCTCCGTTTCCCTTTCAGATGCTTCAACAACTGCTCTGAGGGAGGAAGGGGAAGAGTCACAGGGCCTGTACACAAAAGGTAAGTTGTGCTGGGGAGCCTCCTAACATTAACCCTGCTTGCAAGGGATTCAACAGTCATTTGGGGGGAAGCAGTAAATCTTTGCGTAGCTTGGCTTAGGGTGCAGAGCTGCTCTTCACTTTGAGATCAGCATGTTCTGGAAGAAAGGTATTACCTGTTTTCCTTCCAAATAGGACCAAACTTGTCCCCAGCATGGTGAAACTCTTCCCCAGGACTGGTCTCTACCCCCAGTGCTTTGACCTGACCTCTCTTCTGCAGTGAACGTAACTCTGGATCCAGACACAGCTCAGTCACGGCTCATCTTAGCAGAAGATGGGAAGAGTGTGATGCAGGGAGCCACACAGCAACACCGGCCTGACAGCACGAAGCGGTTTGACCCATGGCCATGCGTGCTGGGCTGCGAGGGATTCGACTCAGGGAGACCGTGCTGGGAGGTGGAGGTGGGCAGTGGGTCCTGCTGGGCTGTGGGGGTGGCCCTGGAGTCTGTGAGGAGGAAGGGACCGATTGACATGAACCCCGTGGGGGGGATCTGGGCAGTGGGGCAGTACAAGGAGAAGTTCCAGGCTCTGACTTCCCCCACTCCCACCCCTTTCCTCCCCAGCATGGTCCCCCGCAGGGTACGGGTCTGTCTGAACCATGCAGAGGGGCGGGTGACGTTTGTCAATGCAGACAACGAGGCTACAATTTTCACTTTCCTGCAAGCCACGTTTTCAGGAAAGCGAATCTACCCCTGGTTCTGGGTGGGGAAGGGGTCCCAGCTCAAACTGTGAGGCTGAGGAAGCGCGGTCCTCTGAGGAGGCTGCACTGTGGCCACGCTGGCCTCCTGCACCCCCATCTCGCTAGCCCTTTGGACTCCTGCCCATTAGCAAGCCTCCTACCATGATCCTCAAAGGCAGTTGAACTCATCTGCCTGCCCGTGGAGAGCCTCTCTGGAGCAGAGGTCTGTGGGCTTCTCCAGTGGAGAAGGGCTCTTGGTGAAGAATGACAATTTCTGGGGAGATTTTATTTATGGAGGCCTCGAGGGGGAATGAGGGGCATAGCAGTGGCATTGGAGTAGCTACTGATGGTATACTTTTCCTTGAGGAGATAAGTAGATGGGTAAGGAGGATAAAAACTTGCTCAACAGCCCACCTAGCCATGGGGTGACACTTGCTCTTTAGCCCTGAAGCCCAGTCAGCCTCCATGTGTTGTCCCTGTGGTGGGCCTGATTTGATTCTCTTAGCTCACGAAATCACAAGTCAACATTCATTTCTATGGGAGGTGTGAGTAGGATTTACATTTCAAAATAATTTAATCAGTTGAATTATAATCACTGCTTTTCAACGTATTAATGTACCTGATAATTCTTCAGTGTTTGACTACTTGATTTGTTTCCCTGGTTGAGATGGGCTTTTGGAAGGAAAATTTAGAGGTTTAGATATTTTCCAACCACGGAACTACTACCAGGAATTTGCTGAAGTGTAGGAACAAACTAGAGGAATTGCTGTTTAGAGACTTGCAGATTTGTAGCAGTGCTGGGATTTATGGTGTTGCATGGTAGAAACTAAAAATATAAATAATCACGAATAAAACAAAGTTATACAAATAAACAATAAATAATTGAAGTTCAAATGCTGGTCAAACAAACATGCAGCTAAATCACATCCCAGAAAACCTTACTGGCAGATTCAAAGGGCTTTAAATGCTTTAGCTCCATCAGTTCCTGTTCAAAGAGCTGACATGCAAAAGGGAGGTTGGGTGCTGGAGCCTGCAGGAGGAATGAGATTCAAAGAAAGGCAAAAGGGAGCAATGCTACAAACAAAAACAGCCGTGGACTTTTAATACAGTTTGTGAAAAAAGCACTTGTGAAAGTCATAGCTTGCTCTGGAGGCTTTGCAGGTGAAGCCCCCCCTCCTACCTGCCCCGTGGTCGGACGCCCTGCTGGCTTGCAGATGCCCATGGTGACCTGGATTTGTCAGCGCTGCTGCTGTGGGGTTTGCTTCCAGCTCTCCCTGCGCTCACACCAGGCTGCCTTCTTGTTCCACCTGAAGGCTCACACTTTCCCTCAGATGTGCTTGTGGAAACGCAGAGCCATGGTCCCTGGCAGAGGTGAGCACAACGTGGGCACAACATCAGCTTTGGCACCAGGAGCTGAGGATGTGCTGGGAGGCTGCAGGGAGACCCCGTCCTTTCCTCCCAGGGTTGGCTCCTCCTCTGTGCCCTGCCAGGAGCAGGAGTTGCCCCTGCTTTCAGGGTCGGTTCCTTGGATGGTTGCTTTGCTGGACTTCTGGTCCAAAGGTGCCCGGGTGCAATGGGGTGTCACCTCTCCCTGTGCAGTGCCAGAGGTTGGTGAGCCCATCCTCTCTCTCTTGAGGCAGGATAACTCTGCCTGACCTCGTGCCGCGAGTCTTCCCAGCTACTGGAGTAGCTTAGGGAGACCAATGCTGCTGCCCATGCCTTGCTGCCACTGCAGCCTCTTCTTCTCCTAAGAGGAGGAGATAGCAGATGAGGACAAAACAAGGTGCCTGATTGTGGGGACAAGCATGTCCTTTGAACACCATGCCCCAAAAGATCTCAGAAAGGGAGAAGATGCTGGAATGGGTTGACATCACTTTGGGCTCTGCTATTCCTTCCCTTATCCCTACCTTCATCCCCTCCCACCCTTCCCTACCAAGTACATGCATACACAGGCTGCAGTGTCCCACAGGCAGGATAAGGCAGCTCAAACTCTGCCCATGAAGCAGAGCAGGACTTGTGCTCCTCCAGACCCTGCAGGTGATGGGGAGAGACTTGTCTGGTTTAGCATCTTTGCCCAGAGGTCCCCTTTTCCAGCTTTACCAGTGGTAACATAAGCTTACGTATCTGCTGTCTGCACAACAGGCTGGTAGACCAAGGCTCAAAAAACTGCCATGCTCTCAAAAGAGATCGAAGGCAGAAGGTACATTCAAATAAAGTCACAGCTGGATGTTTCAAAGTTGGAAGCTGCTGTCTTAGCTTGCCAGGATTTGATTTCCCATCCTATGGAAGAGTCACCTGCCATTTCCTACAGGTCTGTGGCTCATGAATCCCACCCTAGCGCCATGCATCATCAAGACAGTTACCAGTAATTCCTTCCCAGCCACAATCCTTTTGGATGAGATGCAGTCACAGATTGGACCCCACATCACAGTGTTGGTTGCTGTACACCTGCAGCTAATCAGTCTTGTAAAATTAGGCCCATGTCCCATCACCTTTGCAGCTCTCAGGTGGGATTCAGCTGTGCTGGTACTGACTGCTTTAAGTCAGCACTTGTCAAGACAACCTCCACAGATTTTCTTGGCTAATATTTAATAGTCATATTGTATGGACATAGAAATAAAAGAAATAAAACAGCTCCTAGCAAAGGGGGAAGAGAGGGGTGTGATTCTGTACATTAACCATTTCATGGCAAACTTATTTGAGGTGAGGTGGAAATGCAAAGCAGTTTTCAAAGATTAGAGAAAACAACTTTCTGATTTTCCTGTATTCTCCAGGAAAATAAAAGTTCTGGAAATCCCAGGTGGGCTCGCTGCTGCAGCTGGAGAGGACGTGTGTGCATCTTTAACAATCCTTTCCCGACATTCATGTGTTTTCTTGGCCCCAGCAGCAGATTCTTGGCAAACAAGGAAGAAAATTTAATTTCCTGTTACATCTCAGCCTTGACTGCTTCTGTTAACGAAACTGTGTAAAAGATCAGTTTCTAGCAGTAGGATTTCCCTGAACAGATTGCCCCTGAGTTATTCCTGGGAGAGGCTGAAGTTTTTCTGCACCCAGAAAATCTTTTTCTGATCTTTCTCAGATGAAAAACATTGACCCTATTGTTATAGAATTAGGATTTTTTATTTTTATTTTTTCTCTCAGTCTAGCCCTACAGTTTCACATCCTTGAAAACAGGTTATTTTATGGCAAAACTTCTGCAAAGAAACATACTGCAGCTAAAGTCCCAAGGAGGCTGAAGGCTCCGTTAGCTGGTAAATGTTTTTGTAGATAAAGTTTAGGGGAGCAGAGTGGAAGATAAAATGCTTCCACTTAAAACTGCCTTCCCCTTCCCTCATCCTTTTTATTTTGTCCACAAGTGGCCTGTGTGTTTTTGACCAGCTGAAGGATTCTACAGGAGATGAGGAAAAGGAGACCGAGACGGGGGGAGGAAGAAGATCCAAAACTGGTAGATCTATGGGAATTATCTGGCCCATGGGATTCAGGCACCTCAATCAGTTTCTTGCTCACTTCCCTTCACATGTCCCTACAGCTCTCCCTAGTCTTCTGCTGTAAGAAATGTGAAAGAAAACACATGTGCCTAATGCAGATGCCAGTGAGAGCTGGAAATAAGGCAGGGAGAAGTTTTGGATGTATGGAAAAGATAAGTGTTATCATGAGGCCCAGCACCCAAATATGTTTTTATTTTTTTGACTTAATCATTAAGCTTAATTAAAGAAAGACAGACACGGTACTTGGAAATTTTTAAGGCGTTTGGACCCGATGCATTTCTCATGGCCTTGCATGAACCTGCTCCACAGTGTCCCGGCACTCAACACCACATCTTGGCCTTGGGGTCTGCTTGCACCAAGCTCCTCTGTGCCTCAAATCCCCGTGCCCCCATTGTCTCTGCAGTCCCCGCTGTGGGGTCGAGCAGGACAAAGGAGCTTCGTTGGTGGTGTCCATCTCCAGGACCTTCCGTTTCTCCCATTCACTGGCCAGAGGGACTGTGTGAGGAAAAAACAGCAAGGACACACGATGCTCCCAGCTCCTGGCAGCATGATCCAAGGCCATGACATTCATCTTTCTTCTGCTCATCCTCCACGTCAAGGGCACAGCCTGAGGCACGAGTCCATCCCCACCCAGAGCCACGGGTGTAGCCTCTCCTCAGGACATGAAGCCAGGCAGAAAGCAAAGATTGGGGCTTCGTTTTCAGCATCAGCAAACGCCACCTGCCTGCCCACCAAGTCCAAAGAGATCTGGATGGCCCTGGGCACCTGGGCGAGGTGCAGGGGTGTCCAGTCAGGGTCGGTAAAAGCGTGGTACTGTCCAAACCATTGCCCCACAGCCCAGATCCCCTCCTCGGGGGTAAAACTGAGGACCCCCTTCCTCCTGACAGACTCCCGGGCCACCCCCGCAGCCCACCAGTCGCCCCCCTCGGCCACCTCCACCTCCCAGCAGTGCTGCCCCATGGTGAAACCCCGGCCCCCCAGCACGCACGGCTCCGTGTCGAACCGCTCGGGGTTGTTGGGCAGCGACGCCCATGTGTCCCCACGCCTCACGTCTCGCCCATCATCAGCCAGGATGAGGAAGGGGTTGGCAGTGTTTGGGTCCAGGGTCACATCCGCTGGGGACAAGAGGAGAAGCTGCTCAGGACAGGCAGCCCCCGGAGGTGCACCAGGGCTGTGCCCACCATGGCAAGAGGAGGGATGGGGAAAGAACTGGAAAGATATCTTCCCCCTGGCCAGACCCCACCTCCCCCTTGTGCTGGACTGCCCCAGACTCAGTTCTGCCCTGTTCCTGCCCTATCCTGGACTGTCTTTATGGTTCCTGGCCAAGGGGACCCTGATTTTTTCCTAAGGACAGTGCACCTGAGCGTTGGGGTGCACATCTGCTGTGCAGACACCTGGGCCTGCATGCAGGTTTCTGTGGTGATACAAGAGAGAAACAGGCATGTGGGGGCACAAACCAGCACAGACTGTGACAGAGATTGACCCCAAGACCAATAACCCATGACCTCAGATTCCTCTTCCTCTGTGGGCAATGAAGAGAGCCAAGGATGGCAGCTCAGGTGTCTGTGGTGGTGGTGGTGGGTCTACAGATAAACTAGAGGAATCCAGCTGGGGACAGTGCAGCCACCACATCTCAAACCCATGACAAGTCCTGGCTGGGACAAGCCCCAAGTGCCTCGACCCTAACTGGCTCCTCCACAGAAGAAGCAGGGTACAATTTTCTCCCAAACACGGCAGTTACCCTCTAAAAACTCACCTCTTCCACCCCCCTCCTCCACCTCATTGGCCAGGGTCTCCATCTCTCCTATCTCCATACTGGACACCAGCATTCCTGCAGAAAAGTAGCAGAAAGAGAGATGTATTCCCTGCTGAAAGTGGAAATTGCAAGACATAGAGACCACGTGAAGATGATAAAGGGGTCCCTGTTCCCCAGATGCAGAGGTAGTGATGAAGAAGCCAGAGCTGGCACTCACCTGTGGGAAGGTAGGTTTCAGATGGGTCTGAACATCTTCAGTCTGCTCTCCACTCCCTTGACCTCAGCAGATCTTGGCTGGACTGGACTTGCAGTGTTTCCACCTCGTTCGAGTGAGTGGGTTGAACCCCAAAGGAGCTGGATGGCCGGGGGAACACCGCTGGGTGTCTGGCACCGTCTGCTCCTTGCAGCTGGAGCTGCCAGCGGCTGCGTGGCCTCATCTAACACTCGTTTTGCTTGTCTCCCTTCAGGAGTTCCCTCCCGGCGCTCCTGCAGTGCCCCCGTCCTGTTTGTGGAAAAGCAGTTACTACATCATGGGAATTGCCATATCTCCCGCCCTTTGGCCAGCTGCAGGTTGGTGATAAGGTTCCCCTGCGCTGCTGGCAGAGGCTGCTCTGAGCCCTCCTGGGCCCAGTGCCCTGCGCTCATCTCTGGTGTGCTGGGGCTGCCCTGGGGACCTGGGTGCCCTGGGGACACCATCCACAGACCAACAGCCAGGTCATGCTCTTTACAGGCTTCCCCAGATTTATCACGCTGCCAGTGGGTTATGGGGGGAGATGTTTTCAGGGCATGCATTGCCTCAGTTGCTCTACTGGTAAACAGGGGAGTGGGGGACAGTGGGTGCCGGGCTTTGCATCCCACCTCCCCTTTCTCCAGGCAGCTTTTCACATGCCTAGAAGCAATGTGAAAAGCGTGGCCCCTGCCCCATGGGCACTCAGTCCGGGTTTCTCCTTGCCATCCTCCATGTTCCCAGCTCTTATTCAGGACTGGATTAAAAAAAAAAAAAAAAAGAGTCCTCCACCCTTCACATGCTTCCTCTGAACCCCCCCCCCCAGTGCCTGCAACCTCCCACATTTGCCTCTTTATGAGTTGCAAAGCCCAGGCTGGCCCTTCTTTGAAGCGGTGCCTGCAATTTCTTGCTAGCCCCACAACTATTGTGAATTACAAAGCTGTTTTAATTATTGCTGATATTGCATCTGCCAGGCAGTGTCTCTGAATGCTTCCTTTATTGCCTCCCCCTTTTCTTTTCCATCCTGTTTCAACAAAGTCCTGGGAATAGCTGTTCTCACTCTACCAATCGGCATGAATGGATTTATTTCATGTTATCATCTCCGTTACAGTTTGTGGCTTGTGCCCCTGTGTGTTTTGCTTCCCCCTGTCCCTTGTCACCCTTGGCAGGTCCCGGAGCAGCCCCACCTGATGCTCTCGCCTCCCAGACGCTGGGGCCGGACCGTGCTGGGGCATGGGGATGCAGCCGAAGAGCAGGGCTGGAAGGGAGTGTTTCCGGAGCAAAAGCATTGACAAGAAATGACCACATCTCTCGGTTACTTTCATTTTCCAGCAGAGGTGGCGCAAGAGGAAACAGGCAGCAGGCCGGCAGTGACATCTCATTGAGATTGCACAGAGAAATTGCTTCCTGCTCCCTGACGAGACCACACGTGTGCTTCATCCCTTGCCAGCAAAGCCAGGACAGAGGGAGAGGTAAGCTCGGGGCCAGGGTGGGCTGTTTGGGCTGCTGTTGTCGTGTTCCGCTCCGTTCTGAGACCTCCTGCCCATCACATCCCCAGTTTGGGCTCGGGGAGAAGCGTGGCCCCAGCCCCAGGGGCATTCAGTCTGAGTTTTTCCTTGCCATCCTGCATGTTCCCAGCTCTTATTCAGGGCTGAATAAAAAATAAAAAAAAAATTAAAAAAAAGGAACTCTATATTCAAGTAACTGCTTGGTGCATGCTGCTTTGTGCACAAAGCACCCAAGTGGTATGAAAACTTGTAGAAATTTCCCAGATGGGGAAAGAAGGGAAAGCTACAACATCTCCTTTAATGCAATGAAAAAGTGGCAAAGTCAGACTGATGATGTAATATTGACTTCAACCTCGGGCAATTTAATCTTAGATTTTTTCCTGGATATTACAAAAAAAGGTGCTGAAATCAGCAATAAACTCCTTTAAAAGTAAATTATTCCCTATAATATTCTGCCTTTCAAATCTTTACTCGTAACCCTTTTGTTCTGCCTTTCTCCCTTAACTTCTCCTTCTCCATCCCCAGGCTGAGCTCCAGCAAAGAGGATGGTCTTTGGCTGCCACCTCCAGTGCTCTCTGCTGGTTTTTATCCCTTACAGTTTGGTTTTCCATGTTTGTGAGCTTCAATCAGGTATGGATTCCCCTGTCTCCTGCTGATCCTTGCGGTACTCACTTCCAGCCTGAATATTTTCCTGAGCCACTCCCTGTGAATGGTTTAGCACTGAGCAGGGTCAGGTTGTGCAGGACCCTTTTCAGAACCAATTTAATAAAGGAAGAAAGAACACCAACAAAAAATCTTTTAAAAACTATTTGAGTTTTGTACGTGCACAAGTTGTCTGCTTTCTCCAATCACCCACCTTTCAGCCACTTCCTCCTTTCTCCTGCAGTGGTGGTTTTTACCTTGCTGGGCAGCCAAATTCCACCACAACCACTCTCTCACTGCCCCTTCTTAGAAAAAGAGAGGGAGAAGAAAGTATGCTGGAAATAAAATAATAATAATAATAAAAAAAAAACAGGTTGAGATAGGGATAACTTAATTAATGGGAAAAGGAAGAGGGAGAAAAAAAAAAAAGAAAAAAAAAAAAAAAGAAAAAAAGCAAAGGCTGCATGGCAGCACAGAGAGAAGACAAAACTTCTGTCTCCCCCCAGGCAGCATCTTGTCCCCTTGAGAACAGCTCATCCTTTCAGTAGTTTGAAGACCTTGAGCAGGGGGTGGTGGCCAGGTCCTGCTCCCAGCCTTCCTGCCTCGTTTCATCTGCTGTGGTTACCCTGCCACAGAGCAGCTCTGCTGGTTTTCAGGGCTGTCACCACAGCAAACTCATGGTCATTTCTTCTTTTTCTCCCAGCCACGTTCAGCGTCAAGGGACCCCCTGACCCTGTGGCCGTGGCTGTTGGCCAGGACGTGGTGCTGCCCTGCCACGTCTCCCCGGCACAGAGCGTGCAGGACATGGAGGTGACCTGGTTTCGTGAGCAATTCACACCCTTTGTGCATCGCTACAAGGACCGCCAGGACCAGTACGGGGACCAGATGGTTCAGTACCAAGGGCGCACGGAGCTGCTGAAAGACGGCCTCACCAATGGCAGCGTGGACTTGAGAATTTTCCGTGTCCAGCTGTCTGACAAAGGGCTTTACACCTGCTTTGTCCGCAGTGATTCAGGGTACGACGAGGCTGTGGTGGAGCTGAAGGTGACAGGTCTGTAGTCTTTGTCCCTGTCTGCACTGCGGGGCTCTTCCTGTCACCTCTGATTTGCTTCCTTGCAGCCAGTGCTCTTCTTACCAGTCCTTCATCCCAACAGCGACTTCAGGTGCTTGCTTTGGGAATAAGTCTTTATCAAGTGCTACAGTTGATAATGTTAATCAAGTTGTCTCAGAGATATAAAACCATCCACTGAGCAGTTGTGAAGAGCTCATGAGATATGTCCCAAGTGTTCTTGATCTTATTTTCTTAATATAAGTGGGCGTAGGAAAAAAAAAAAGTCAGTGGATAATAAAGTAAGAACGCCTTGTTTAATATTTTTATATTTTAATATCCAGGCCTAAGGATTAATTTGGTGAAGTAGAAGGTTCCAGGGCAGAGCTTTGGGTAATATGAAAAAGACTGGAAGAGGGGTCTCTGTGCATCTCTCTAACAGCTGGTGATACTGGTTAAGCTGCTGCCATGGCCCTAAATAAAACATGCATTTGCCTGTGTTGAGGCTCATCCCTTCTTGCCAGTAGAGGATCAAGCAGACCCCATTATTCCCCCCAGACCTGGCATCCCGTGGAACAGCTCCATCCGCACAATAACCCGGGTTCTCTGTTTTCCTGCAGCCAGCGGCTCTGCTCCGCGCATCGTGCTGGAGCACTACCAGGACGGAGGCATCCGCGTGGCGTGCCGCTCGGCCGGCTGGTTCCCGCAGCCCCAGGTGCTGTGGCAGGACCACTGCGGGCAGCACCTGCCCTCCCTCTCAGAAAACATCACCCAGGACGAGAGCGGCCTCTTTGCGACGGAGAGCATCCTCATCCTCACCAGGAGTGCAAGCCAGGAGGTGGCCTGTGTGGTCAGACCTGCCCTGCAGAGCCAGGAGAAGGAGTCCTCTTTCTACATATCAGGTAAGCAGAGGACAGGAGCGTCATCCTGGTGACGTTTCCAGGGGATCGGTGCTCTTGGAGGTGCTGTAGGCAGAAAATTTGAGGTTCACTTGCACACCGGGTATGAGGTGCATCGAGTGCATTTTGCATGCTGCCACTGCAAACAACTTCCTTCCCCCTGTAGTTTTGGGCGGCATTTGTGAAACCTCCATCTCACCTGCTGTAAAATCCTGGTCCGATGATAAGATTTTCACAAGATCACGTGGTTTTCAGATCTAATTTGGTTCATTCTTATACTGGGGATGAACGATTTGGGAGAATTTATTTCCCCAGCAGGCCAATACCTTTCCCCCGATGGCAGTGCTCTCTACTGGAGTGTTCCTGTTAACACCCCTGTTAACCCGGGTTTTTACTGCTCATATATTGACCAATGAAATATATAGAGAGATAAGATTCAGAGCTGCTTGGAATAGGCTTGTATGAAATGGAAATAATCTGCTTTCTCTTTCTGCTTGCAGAGTAACCTAATCCCTTTGAGGCTTCTATTTTTCAGATCCCTTTTTCCAAAATGCCCATCCTTGGAAAATTGGCCTGGGCGTGGTCCTGGTTGCTGTGCTCTCTCTTTTCATCATCGCCGTTTATCTATTTAGAATGAAAGGTATAGTCCTGGTACAGCGTTTGGGGCTGGGAGCTCTGTAAACCATCTTATTCAGCCCCTCTGGTTCTGGCTCATGGGTAGGTTTGGGCTATGAGGATGGTCCTGAGCCTGGAGCTCAGTGACGCCTCTGGACTGTGCCCCATCATGTAAATCATACAGAGGGGTAAAGGAAATAGAAAACCCGATGTCTTGCAGAAGGGGCAGGGAGCCTGTGGGTCACAAAGGCACTGCAGCACGTTTAGACACCTCTGCCTTGCTGCCTTGTGTGTGGTTGTAATGCGGCTGTAGTTAATCAGAGCTCATGGGAAGTGGTGATTTTTTAAATGACTGACATTTCTTTCTTTCTCTCTTTCATAGGACAGCATGAGAAAAAAATAGGTAAGCTTCACTTTCTGTTTTCCAGAAACTGGAAAATGGGAGAATTCCCTTCAGTTGAAGACTTGATGGGACTTATTTTAGGGGTAGGAGTGGTGGAGGCAAATGGGTTGCCTAGCAGCTATAGAAAATTATGAAATTCATTTCTGGAATGATGAAACTACAAAGCTGTGAAATAGTGTTGAAAGTTTAAGAAAAATCACAGCGGAACCAAAAAGAGCATGAACAGATATTGTATCAACAGTCTTTGCTTTGCAAAGGGCTCTCCAGGTTCTTCCCAATTGGGGATCACACATTTCATGTTGTAGGAACACAGCTTTGTATCAGCACTAAAACAAAACAAAACAAAACAAAAATGTGGGAACAGAATGGTAACACAGCATCACAGCAATGAGTGAAATTTCACCCCTGCTCCTCCCCTGCTCGTGCAAACCTGCTGGTGTCCAGCAATGACCTCTGCCCTAGGGACTTGGAGGAACGCTTGGGCCGCAGCTTTTCCACCATGACACAATTTTAGCCCCCTCCCTGCCCCAACAGGTGTATCAGTGAAAAAGGAATTGACTTTGGTGGTAATGCACTTTTTTGTTTTTGCTTTTCAGCAATGCAAGCAGACGCACTGTGTAAGTCTCACTCCCTGTCTTCCCTGGTGAAATCTTCTGCAAAAACTTGTTATTCACCCTGTCGTTACATTCAAATGTTCTCTTTAGGCAAAGACTTTCCTCCCCCAAATAGCCAATAATATGAACATTCACTCTGTAACATTGTAGGAATTTTCTTCCTGAGTAACTGTCAGTGCTTTTTAACACTCACTTTAACTTAAGCAGTGAAGTAGCACTGAAAAGTTTGTGCTTTTTAGGGGATGACTACGGAAACATAAGCCCTTGAGAATTTTGATATCAAGAGAAGGATGGTTTGATTACCAAGGAATTAAAAAATAAGAAAACATTTGAAGAGGGAATATAAATATATATTTGTTTGTTTTCAGCTCATTACCAATAAATAGTCCTTTGGCTATTAAAATGGAGCTCTTGCTCATTGCTAAAGTGATGCCATTGCAGTTTGATAGGGAAAAGAAATACAGCTCAGCCCACTGGGAAATTAGGAGTCCATGCCAGGAGAGAACAAATCCATGCACCTGTCCCTTCAGCACAGCTCCCTTCACCTGTGCAGCCCCTTAGCTGGGATCCAAGGGCAGTGATTGGAAAGAGTAACCGGGATGTGCTTCTGTTTGCTGTTTAGGGCACCGTGCTGCTGAAATTGGTGAGTCTTCTTCCATTCCTTAAAAAGGACTTTTTACTGACTGTATATTCTTAAGATGTGAAGTGAACCTAAGAGCAGCTGAGAGTGTGGGGAAAAGAAAGAGTGAGGGAATTTAAGACCGCCAAAATGCAAGATGATTGAAAATGGTATCTGGGGTTGGGGTGTGGCTGACAACAGTGGCAGGGTGAGCATGCTGGGGGCTCCCTGCACACACCGTAAGCTGATGGCAGCGCTGTGGGACACATCCCCTGGCCAGAGAGGGACCTCTCAGGGACCTCTCTCAGCCCTGGGCTGAAGCAGGACCTGCACCGTCACCCTTCAAGGGCTTTGCATTGCTGGGGTCGGCAGAAGTACAGCCTCCTGCACAGGCAGATGGTTGCAGGAGAGGTGATATCCAAGCCGACATCCCACAACCCATTTGTGATGATTTACATGCATTTTGTTTTGCAGAGAGACAAGCTGAGGAGCTTGGTGAGTATCATTCTCCTTCCTTAGTAAGAGACTTCCTGGTAAGAGACTTTCATTTTCTCATTTGGGTGTTGCATTTATGGCCTAGTTTTGTTTTGTTTTGTTTTTTTCTTTTGGGAAAGGAAGAGGTGGCAAATGCTGAACTCATTTCAGAAACATTGTTTTCCTTTGCTCTGTTTTTATGTTACTCTCTGTAATCCTTCTATACCAAGAAAAAATTGCTTTCATTTCACAAAGTACAAACAGAGGGTAAGTATTTGTGTGAGGCCAGACAAAGGGATCATATTTATCGGAATGGGTGAAGCAATTCCATGTAACTAGACACTGAAGTTTTGAAATTACACACTGTGAGATGACTTTTACAAATACAGCTACAGTTCAGGAAATGTGCAATTACACCAGCATATCATTATGTTGAGCTATTCCAGTACCACGAGGGTGTTCAGATTACTTCTCATCAGTATTTTTCTTTTGTTTGTTTTTGTCTTCTGTTTTTGTTTTAAGAATGGAGAAGATATGCAGTGCCTGTTGAAAATGGTAATTGAAGTTCTGTCTTCCAGGGGGCTGAATCATCTTCCCTGCTTTTCTTTCTCTTCCTGACAACTCCCCTCCTGCTGGTGGCACCAGGGATGCTTACTTTGCAGTGCAGCACTCAGTCCCCTCATTCACTCGGTGCATGTTCCACTCTCAGACAAATCTGAAGAGTCCTGGTCCTTAGTGAGCAGCGCTGGCCATGCTTTAGAGATTCAAGGACTTCTTCAGCCTGGAGGTGTGCTGATGGTCCTCTTCCCTGTGTGCTCAGGGTCATCTCTCTGGTTCATTTTCTGCTCCTCACACTAATGCCATCGCTTGTGCATCTTCTCATACCACAGCCAGCAAACTGTCACCTTCACCCTTTTTCTTCTTCCTGAGGCAGCCTCAGCAGAGGCCTCTCCTGGGGAGAGCTCTGCCCTGACGTGTTGACTCCCTCTGTCCCACAGTGGCGGTGGTTCTGGATTCAGACACAGCCCACTGTGACCTTGTCCTGTCTGATGACTGCAAAAGCGTGAAGCGAGAGGACAAGCTGCAGAACGTCCCCAGCCTCCCTCAGAGATTTGACCCCTGGCGCTGCGTGCTGGGCTGCGAGGGCTACACCTCAGGGAGATACTACTGGGAGGTGGAGGTGGTGGATGGAGGAGGATGGGCCGTAGGGGTCTCTCGAGAAGATGTGAAGAGGAAGGGCGAGATTCAGTTCAGCCCGGAGGAGGGCATCTGGGCAGTGGGGAACTGGGCAGGGAAGTTCAAAGCTTTCACGTCCCCTGAGCACACTTGCCTTCACGAAAGCCAGGCTCCCACGCGGGTCCGGGTCTCTCTGGATTATGAAGTGGGCCGGGTGGCATTTTTCAGTGTTGATGAGAAGAATTCTATCTTCACATTTCCACTGGCATCATTCGATGGGTTCAGAGTCCACCCATGGGTCTGGCTGGGTCCTGGTACGTGGCTCAAAATGTGTCCCTGATGAAGGGAAGGGAGAAAGAGAAGGCTTCATATGGCACTGCCATAGTTCATAGACTCATAGCAAGATGGAGGTTGGAGGGAACTTGTAAAGGTTTCCACTGCAATCTCCTGCTCACAGCAGAGCTAACTTCAAAGCTACTTTAGGTAGCTTTGGGCTTTGTTCAGGTGAATTTAGTGTCTCCAAGGGTGGAGATTGTGCTACCTCTGTGGACCCAGGGCTGCACCTCTCTCATGGGGAAGACAGAATCCCTTATACACGATGGGTTTCCCCGACTGCAGCTTGTAACAGTGGCCTTTCATCCTCTTTCTCTACCTGTTGAGCAACACTTCCACTGAAAAGAGACACTCCCTCAGCAGGGACTGTTTGTAAAAAGTACAGAATAAAGTTATTTTAGCAGGATTTTTTTATGTGTGAGTCAGCATGAGATGTCTGTGCCTGCGGCTGTTGCATCCACATCCTTTAGGCAGGGGGAAGTTGCAGACTCTTCTGAGACACGAGTCACCTCTCCCTGCAGAAGGCCATGAAAGCACAGCAGTAGAACTTGCCCAGGTTGTGCTTGTGCAGTCCCCTGGCCACAGCATAAGTCCAGGCGACTAGCTCATCTATCCACTTCCTAACATAGAGGGCAACTCCACCTCCCCTCCTTCCTCACCTACCCCTTCTGAACAATTTGTAACCATCAAGAGCCGCACTCCAGCCATGGGAATCATCTCACCAGGTTTCTATGATGGCAACTACATCATAGCTTCCTACTAGCACGGTGGCCTCCAGCTCCTCCTGTTTTTTACTCATACTGTGTGCATTAGTGTAAATGCACCTCAGCTGGGCCACCTTTTGGGATGGAGAACACCTAATACCCTCTTGACCACACTCAGGTGCTTTCATAGTTATCAACCTCTCACCAACCCTTGTGTCCTTTCTGCAAATTGCTGTGTCATCCTCATCCTTCACCAAAACACAGGACTGCAAGGTCTTGCTAGCACTTTCCTCACCCACAAGAACTGGCACGTTACATTCAGACTCCTTTCTAGTGACCCCGGTTCTACCCCCACCCCCCTTCATACCTAGTTTAAAACTCTGTCAATGAACCCTGCCAAGTCCCATCCTAAAACCCTTTTCTGCTGGTCACCTGCCGGTGACACCAGGCTCGGAGCCAATTATTAATCTGCTGGCTCATCATGTCCAGTCCCTCATTATTTCCTGTAACTAGAGGGACAGAGAAGAACACAACTTGTGCTCCTGAACCCTTGACCTCTCTCCCCAAGTCTCTTTAATTGTACCATGGTTTCCAACTCCTTCTAATCATTTCCCATGCTGTGTGCATTGGTGTAGAGGCACTTCAGCTGGGCTGTCGGTCTCATTACCTTTTCAGAGGAGCCCTTCCAAATTGCTTTGAAACAGTTCACAAGTATTTCCTAAAGGGACAGTGTTCCTAGGTTCATTTCCATCACTCACATGTACATCCCCCTTCCCCATCTGCATCTAGTTTAAAACCCTGCTTATAATCCCAGCAGGCTTATTATAATCATTTTGTCTGTAAGAGAATTTAGAGTAGGACAGTTGTAAGTATCAAAACATTTGGACTGTAAATTAAGTAGACATTAGGACGTTTTCCTTAGAAACAACTTTAGGTTTAAGAAGCTGACTTCTTTTCAGACAAAATAAAGTGCTACTTAAGCTGAGGGTGGGTGAGAGTCTACAAGGTGACGCAGCAGGGACAGCTGACCCCAACTGACCAAAGGGATGTCCCATATGCCGAGACTGGGGAACTACAGGCCAGTCAGACTCACCTCTGTGCCTGGCAAGATAATGGAGAAGATCCTCCAGGAGACTCTGCTAAGGGACATGGAAAATAAGGAGGTGATTGGTGACAGCCAACATGGCCTCACTAAGGGCAGTTTGCGCCTGACAAATCTGGTGGCCTTCTACAAGGGGGTTACAGAATTGGTGGATGGGGGAAGAGCAGCAGACATCATCTACCTGGACTGTGCAAAGCATTTGACACTGTCCCCCATGATATCCTTGTCTCTAAACTGGAGAGACATGGACCTGACAGAGCGTGTTAGGACTCAAAACCATTAGGTAGGTGCAATGTGAAACAGGCATTATGAAACTAGCAAGGCAGAACGCTGACCTTGTGGGAACACACATTGCTAGCTCAGCGATATGGCACCAGGCCACACGGGTCATCCGGCACGAGACAATGCTGCCATCCGCACAGCACGCGCTGGCCATGCAGCTGTGCGTGATCGCAGCAGCCTATCAACTAGCAACCTGTAGGGTTTGGGAGCACACAAGGGCAAAACTTATAAACAGAGCAAGTTGCTCTGCATCCGAGAGGCAGGAACATCAACCGAGGTCAACGTTGCCTCCACGGGGACGCCCGCAAGACATTGATACCTACCACACTGACAGGGTGCCAATCACGACCTGGCTAAGTATCTGTGATCTATTGGGTCTCAGTAATGGACATCAGTGACCGGGAAAAGCATCACGCTCATTGGTACCCTTGCCATCACCCTGGGGTCGGTATGTTAACAAGCTAACTCATTAATAAATTCTTTGTTTTTCTATCGCTGCTCAGCTGTGTGTGTGTGCAAGTGTATTTGATATGCCCGAATAGCTCGCTTGCTTTATATATATATATACTCTTTTCTGATCCTTGCTGGGCTGAACTAATCAGCTTCAGCCCCTGGAATCTAACTAGAACACAGAGGGACCACTTGGTGGGTGAGGAATTGTCTGGATGGCCACATTCAAAGAGTTGCAGTTAGTGGCTCCAGGTCCAGGTGGAGACCAGGGATGAGTGGTGTCCCTTAGGGGTCTGTACTAGGACCAGCACTATTCAACATCTTTGTCAGCGACATGGACAGTGGGACTGAGTGCATCCTAAGCATGTTTGCAGACAACACCAAGCTGCGTTGTGTGCTTGACACAGTGGAAGGATAGGATGCCATCCAGAGGGACCTAGATGGGCTTGAGACATGAGCCTGTGCTGAGCAACCTAATTTAGTGGAAGGTGTCCCTGCCCATGGCAGGGGATTAAACAGGATGATCTTTAAAGGTCCCTTCTAACCCAAAACATGCTGTGTTTCTATTCTATTATTCTATGACAGCATGCTCAGCAATAAATTTTGGGGTGTCTTTCCTAGGTACTGTGGGTCAGGGTCTGACTGAGCATTGGTCTGCAGGTGGGAGGCAGTGAGTGATTGCCTTTGCATTACTTATTTTTTCCTCCTTTCCCTTCTCTTATTAAACTCTCATTAACTCAACACATGAGGTGTTTTGTTGTTGTTGTTGTTGTTGTTGTTGTTTTTTTTCCCTTTTGCTTTTCCAGTTCTCTCCCCCATCCTGCTTTGGGGGGCAATGGGCAAGCAGCTGCTGGGTCTTCAACTGTTGACTGGCATTAACCTGCCATGACCAACAGAATGTAGAAACAGTACAAAACCCAGATCTCCCCTCCTCTGCAGCACCTGCCCTTGTAGATTTTGGGTGACCCCCAGCCCTGTTGCCCAAAGTGCTTGGTGGTGACCTGTGGGCCGGGGAAGTGGCGAAGGCTTGGCCATGGGAATGAAGAGCAGGAAGAATTGCAAAACCCAGTTCCTTCCTCTGTTCCTAATCTCCTTGCCTGCACTGTGCTGTGGCTTCTCCCACTGACGTTAAAGCTGCCTTGCAGCTCTCCAGAAGAGCCATCCCTCTCTTTTCTGGGAAGCCAGAAAGAAAGGAGCCCTCCCGGACACCACCACCAACCAGCTGAGGTGACATGCAAAAGCTGCTCCTCTCTGGTACGCCAAGTAGGCTGCAGTCCCCAGGTCAAGGGACATTAAGCAAGAAATTTTGTAGCCAAGCTGACCCACAGTTTCTTATGGAAACACGAGATGGAGGTGTTTGCAAAGAGCCATGGTGTGGCAGTGCAATTAAAGTGGGGGCTATACTGAAGGACAGCAGATGAGTTTGGCTTCTCCGGAAACCACAGCTCCCTTCCCAGCAGCTGGGGGTGCTGATAGAGGGCCTGGCCAGCCCTGCTGGGAGCGCCGCTGCCAGGGCAGCTCCCAGTGCTGGGGCAGGAGGGAGGCAAAGCAGCAGGAGAGCAGACGTTGAGGGGTTCACGGTGAGTGCCAGGGGAGCTTTGGCCATCGGGGGGGCTTGGGACAGTTATGTCTGTGCAGAGGAAGCTCTTCTGGTGATTTGTACTCCTGCCTCAGGAGCACAAGTCTTGCAGAGGGCTTCACTGGGCAAGAGCCTGCTGTCCTCAGAGGAGGGTGAGGACGGGAGGATGGGGTGGACACTGGCAGAGGCTGCTGGACTCCTCTGTCCCCTCGGCACAAAGCGATGAGGTGAGGGTGGGGGTAGAGGCCCCACATGGCTCTCCAGGGTAGCTAGTGGAACAGGTGCTGCCACAGCACATGCATGAGCTCTGCACCCTCCTTGGGGCTTGGTCCTGCTCCCCACATGCCAGGGAGGAGCTCGGAGCTCAGGGGGCTTCTGGGCAGGCTCAGGGGGCTTCCAGAGGGCTTCATGTGGGCTGGCAGCACTGCTGCCAATGGTGGGAAGCAAAGCTGGGGCTGTACCCATGCGTGTCCAGGGCTCTCCCCTGCAGGCCATGCGGTTCCCTGTGCTGCTTGTGTTGATCCTCCTGGCCCTGCTGCCCCTGGCCAGTGCCACTGACCCACAACAGCCCTGCCCATCGGAGATGAACAAGGTGAAGGACATCCTGGAGGTGAACTGCACGGGGCAGGCTCTCAGCGCAGTGCCTTCTGGCCTGCCCGAAGACACGGGAATCCTGCTGCTCAATGACAACCACCTGACGTCTGTCTCCACTGCCGCCTTCTTGCCCCTGACCGTACTGCAGGACCTCGACCTGTCTGAAAATGGGATGGTGGCCCTGAACACCGAGTCCCCACTGCCGTCCCTCAGGGAGCTGCTGCTGTCCCGCAACGCGCTGGTGGCCCTGCCCAACCTGCAGGGCCTGCCCTCGCTCATCCGCCTGGCCCTGTCCTACAACATCCTGCAGAATCTGGCCCCGGAGGCTTTCCGTGCCGTGCCGTTGCTGCAGGATCTGGACCTGCGAGGGAACCGGCTGGAGACACTTCCTGGGGACACCTTTGCAGGGCTTCGGGCACTCAAGGATTTGGACCTCTCAGACAACCTTTTGGAGGAGCTCCCCAAGGAGCTGCTGCAGGACTTGGAAGCGCTGGAGACCCTCTGGCTCTCAGGGAACCTCCTCCGCACCCTGCCCAACAACTTCTTCGTTGATGGGCACATCTTTGCCTATGTCTTCCTCACCGAGAATCCCTGGCACTGTGACTGCGACCTGTCCTACCTGCGGAATTGGATCCGGTTAAATGAGGGGAGCGTCTACCAGCCAGAGCGGGGCCTGGAGAAGACAAAGGTGGAGGTGGCCCCAGAGAAGGTGCTGTGCCACAGCCCCCCTGAGCATCAGCATCAGCCTGTCATCCACTTCAAGTCTGACTGCGGCAATGTGGGGGACACAGATGGGGATGAGTATGACTACGATGAGGAAGGAACACCCCAAAAAACTACCATGTCCCCTTCCCCCACAACACACCCAGCTATCCCCAAAGAGCACACTACTACCCTACATGCTCTTACCCAGCCTCCTCTCACTACCACAAATCCTCCCATCAGCTCCCCTTCTAGCTCCAGCCTTGCCCCAAGCACTTCCGATGAGGTTCCTACAAGCACCAGCACTCCCAGCACCATCACTCTTGCACCAGTCAGTCCCACCATCGCATCCACTGTACAGCCCCCCAGCACTACCCCTGTTCTAACTACTGCTCCCCCCACCACCTTCATCTCCACCACCTCACTGACAACTGCTGTGAGCACTGGACTTCCCAGCACCAGCAACCATCCCCAAACCAGCCTTGCCACCAGCACTGCCACCAGCACTCTCCCGATGTCCACTGGCATGTTTTCCACCAGCAGTCCCACAGCATTGCCTTCCACTAGCACACCAAGGGCCTCTTTGGTCATCGAATCTTCATCTTCTCTACTGTCCACCACACCGGTGGTCTCCACCACCATGCTTTCTCCTCATGCCCCAAAGTTGCTGGCTCCCCCGAACACCACACATTTCCTCCAGCCATCCCCTCTGCCCCCACCTCAACCTCTCTGTCCTTGCTCCACCACAGCAGAGACTGTGCCCATGCTGCTCTTGCGGGCGGGTGGGGAGGGTCCTCAGTGGGTGCAGTGGGTGCTGAGCCACTGCTGCCTGCTGCACTTCGTGCTCTACCTGGCCTCCTTGGTTCTGCTGCTCCTGTCCATGCTGGCTTTAGCTTGCTGGCTGCTTTGGATGTGCCTGGTGGGATGGCCTTCCTCGCGCAAATCACTGCAGACCCAAGAGGTGCAGTACCCACTGTTGAGGCAGAGGGAATCAACAGAAAGTCCTGTGTGGCATCTCAGCAGCTTCCAAAGCCCCCTCCAACAAACCACATTCTGCACCATCAAGGAAATAGATCTGTGCCCTGAAGTCACTACATCCCACACCTACTGCACAATTAAAGACCTAGGAATACAGGGCAGTCCTCCTGCAGAGTCTTCTTTCTGCACAACAAAGGAGCTGTGGGTCTGCCACTGTCCCCCGAATACTTCATTCAAGTCTTTCTCCACGAAGCTGACAGACACAAACCTTGCCCCCCTGCGGGCCCCTTCTGCTTACAGCCTGGATAGGGGTGCCGAGGCCATCGGCACTGTCAGCGTGAAGAATGCTGGCAACACCTTGTAAATGTATGTTCAGAGAGAGGGATGGAGGGTCATGGCTCTGCCTCATTTACCTTTGTTGCATGAGGGGACGATCTACTTGCTACAGAAGGGGAAGTCATCCCATCCCTCCCCCTAGCACTCCTCTCACACTCATTGTGGTTGCTGGATCTGAAATAATTACTTGGGTAGTTGGCAGGGGTAGAAGTCACCCCAGAGCAGAGTTTGGGGCTGACACTGCCTGATTTTGGGGTTAGAACAGCTTTTTGAGCTTTTTTTTTTTTTTTCTTCTTTTGAGAAGAGCTTGCTTTGTACACTGTGTCCTAATCACCTCTGTCTGAATGGTGCACATAAAGATGTGCTATGCTTTCAACTCAGTCCCAGGTTGCTAATCACAGAATAAATATTCTCTTTGCCTAACTTTCAAATGGGTGCTAGTTTCATTTTACTGGACCTCCGGTAGTCTTAAACTTTAAGTGATGCTTCAATGTTAACCCATTCTTTCCTGTATCCTTGAAGTAAATGGACCAGAGCAATCTCTATACAAGAAGAGACTGAATAGATGCAGAATAAATGTGATGTGGCACTATAGACACCAGTCCCCAACTTTGGTGTCACCTATGCATGATCCAAAAGGCCTTGAGAACTGCATCAGGGAAATAAAAGTCACTTTTCCTTTCATGCACGACGACTCTACCCAGGACACTGGGTTGATGTCTGGAGTGAGGAGACCTCTTAGTGGTGTCCAGTGCTGCCTGAAGTCATCATGAGCTGGTGGTCCTGACTGGAGACCAAGTGTCCATCCTGTCCGTTCAGATGCTTCATTTGCAACTATAAAGCAGGGAGCCACCGAGCCCTATATAAAAATTCTGGCTCGGTTGCACAATGTTTTAGACTGTCAGGTGGAGAATCCTGCCACACGGGAGAGTCTATTGCGACAACTGGCAATTAAAAATGCTAACGCAGACTGTAGGAAAATTTGGGGATCTATTAAAGCCTCTAACCCTAATATAGCCGATATGATCAAAGCCTGACAGGATGGAGGAACAGAGAGCCATAAGATGTCGCTGTTGGCTGACGCTTTAACCTCGTATATCAGGGTGGGGGTGGCACAAAGGGCCAATTGTTTAAATTTCAGGGAAAGCCTCTGGAAGGAAAGTGCATAAAAGGAGCATAGCCGGGTAAAGACTCTTACTTACTTGATCACAATAAGAGTCCGTGCATTCAGATGCCACAGATTCAGAAGAGGAAGCTGCAATGCAAAATCCCTGTTGGTACTGAGTGCTCACATGTTTGGACCAACCAGATTCAGAAATTATCAACTGATTCTATTTTTCTGATGAATCCAATCTAAAGCACACATTCAGAAAAAAACAGTCATCACCAGGGTGTGATTTGCAGCTACGTCTAGGCTGAGGTGAACTATTTCTATTGGCAGTGTCAGATAACATGGTCAACTCTATGAGTAAATTCACCTGTAGTTGACCGGAGCTGCCGATGTTCTCCGTCTCTATGCCATTCTTGTCCATTCTTATTTCTCTACCTGAACTAGCTCAGCCTTCTTTGTTGTTTGCATCTTGTTTTTAATAAGATGTATTAATATTAGCTGATACTTGTCCTTTAAGAAAAAGGGCTCAGAAAAGAACATTCATTGATATGAATCGTGCACATCTTACACAAACAGCAGGACAATATTCCAAGGAAATTTTTTTTTTCACTTTGTTACTACTTTTATCAGAGTAAAAACCCCAGGAGTGCAAAAGTGTCTGAGTTTTCTGAGGAGCAGCAATCACAGAATGGCTTAGGTTGGAGAGGAGTTCTGGAGATCATCTAGTCAAACAGGACAGTCAGAGCAGGTTGCCCAGGACCATGTCTAGTTGGTTTATAATATCTCCATAGATGGAGACTCCACAACCTGTTTCAGTGTTTGACTGCCCTCATAGTAAAAGTTTTTCTTGAGTTCAGATGAAGTTACATATGATCTGAGCACTGCTGAGAAGACATTTCAGTCCACTTCATTGTCCATTTACCTACTCTGTACTTTGTTTTTGTCCCCAAAGCAGAAGTCCAAGCAGGACTGATGGACCATTCCAGCATGCTTTGGCAAGGGCAGGGAAATACTCCTGGCTGCTCCCAGCTCTGAAGCACTGGTCGTATGCAACTTTGAAATGTGCTAGCACGCATACATAAGGGGAAACTATCAGGCATACAGGCTGAACTTCTGTATGTATTTACTACAGAGAAAAGTGTTCCTGTGCTCAAGGAAAGCAAATAACTATGCACTTGTCAATTAGAAAAAAAAATATTAAAATGTTTAAAAAATTCTTAATACTGCTAGGCTGTGTTTGCAACTTTCAGTTGGTTGTAGCATTTGAAAACACCCTGAGACACCACTGCTGGCAAATTCACCAGTGGTTGTACTTACAGGTGATGTTCTCTGCTTCTACAGCAAGTCCATCATTCCGTGTTTCTTTCTAAAGTTTGGTCTTGCTTCTGCTGTATTTGGGCCTACTCTTTTACACCAGGAGTCTGCAATAGTAATGCAGGTAATACCAGTACTCTGCAATAATAAAAATACTTTTATAAAATATATAGAGAGAGATTGATATGAATGACAGGAGGATTCCTTCTTCTCCTTGCTGCCTACCCAAGCACTTAGAGAAAGGTCAAGCAGGAGGGAGCAGTTTCCATCTTCACGAGCACTGTAGTCCCTTGTCAGCTGCCGAAAGCTTTGCTGATAAAGCACTGAGGGTCATGTCCTTGTGATAAAGACAGCTGCAATTTCTATGTTTAGGGGTGACTTGCTGAGCTTTGTTGTTGAGGAGCGACAGAGAGGAGCTGTTACAGACTGGCCACATCCCCCACAACCCATCGCCCTGCACTGCTCGAGGTGAGGACACGTGGAGGTGTCAGGAGAGAAGGAGCAGCAGAAGACAGTCTAGTTTTGGTCCTTGTTTCTCACAATCCAACACTATTTTAATTGGAAATAAATCAGTTTTCCCCAAGTTGAGTCTGTTTTACTCATGAGGGTAGTTGGTCAGTGATCTCCCTGTCTTTGTCTCAACTCACAATTGTTTTCATCTTATTTTTTCCCCATACCCTGTTGAAGAGGGGAAATGGGAGAGCAGCTGGGTGGGTGTCTGGCAGCCAGAAAAGGTTAATGTGCCACAGCCAAGAAGAGTAACATGGGAATTAGTAAAACAGTCAACAAATGGGGAAAAAGGTAAACAACTACAGAAGGGTTAAGAGATCATCTAGATTCAGAACAGTCTAACTTCCTGTAATTGCAAGCCCTTTGTACACTTAAAAACAATAAAAATAAAAATCTCAGATTGAATGTTGTTCTCTCGGACACAAGGGCTGTTACACAAGCAAACATATCAGATTATAATGCACATACTAATCGTTTTATAATACTAAGTATTGCATAATTTCATGTAGATGCATGTAGGGTACAAGGTCCTGTCAGAGGACAGTGCTCCAGGGGGCATGTGCAGGACACTGGCAGGTATTGCCTCAGCGTGGGCTCTTGAGTGCCAGGTCTATTGCTACAGGTGATCAAGGAGATGGGCATCTGCAGAGCTGGCCCCTGCCTTCAAAAGAAATTTAAGATTTTGCTGTGTAGACAAAGGGTGGAATATCATACACTGAAGCTTACACAGAAGCACCAGGCAGATGGAAAGGCTCTACAAAAATGTTAAAGACAAAAAGTAAAACCATTAAATCTAGATGTGAGTACTGTGCAATACATTTCAGCAGGCAAATGAATCAATAGATCAGACTACGAGTTCCATATGCAAAGTATTACCTGTAGAACAGGTGAAAATAGCAATACCAAAAGATAATTCTCTCATCTTGGTTGCCAGAAGTCATGCTGAATAATATTAACATGTGGCAGGGGATAGGGCACATTGGGAAGTGGATAGCATGGGCTTTAAATGACATGCAGTCATTGATGGAACTGAAAAACAGCAATATATTGTAGGAATACAAGCTTTACATCAGAATCAACACATCGTTCAGACTGCAAGGCAAGTAGCTAGCTCTGATTCCTGGCTACTGCACTGTTAGCAATCACAGCAAGCATGCTGTGCATCAAAACTATGTCTACTATGATGAGCTGCAGATATGAGTACCAGATTGGCATGCAGGTGATCGCCTCCATGTCCATCAAGGAGTGGAGTGTAGTTGTCACCTGGATGATTGTTGTACAACTGCTGAAACACATAATGGCCAATCCAAGTGTATCGTGAACTCAACGTGACCACTGCTTGATCCTAAAAGACTATTTAATCAAAAAATATTCAATCAGAAGTGTATGTGTGTTGTATTGTTCTGTCCATTCAAAATATTATACATCTTTGATTACCATTTCTGGGTATTGCCGCCAGGAACTGCAGGTTTATTAAACTCATTCTCCCTCCTTCCCTCCTCCCCAGTGCCCCCCCCCCTCTTTTTTTTTTTTAATATGTGCTATGAATACCTTGTTATCACTGGTGATGACAGCAGCAGGAATAAGTCTTTTCCCCATGTGCTGGAAGGTGGAAAGGTCCTGTCCTTCCAAAACATTTCCTCCATTGTTGTTTCCTGTGACCCATAACTAGCTCACTGTTCTGTCTGTAGTGGCTGGACAAAACGTGGAAGGATATCTTTGTCTCTGCCACAGCACTTGTGCCAGCTGAAGTCCTAGAGACACACATTTCTCGCATAGTCTGCTGTTCTAACAAGGCACCAAGCCAAGGGGCCAGCAGGCAGCCAGTGGGGTGAAGAGCGGTACGTTTCCTCCAGGCAGGAGTTTGGTTTCCCAGTCTGCCATTCCCAGCCAGGAATAACACTCAGTGAAATGTCAAGATCGCTTGTGTCATGAATTGGTGAGGCTTATAAGGATTACAGTTATCTTTGTTCCTAAAGCCGGAATATTTCCTTTCACATAAGATCCCAATATACTGTTGCTTTTTTTTTTGTTGTCGTTGTCTGTCTTTTGTAATCCCTCTCCCTCTGCCTTCTTCACCCAGGACCTTCAATTCCCTTCCTCAGGCTATCACGAGTACCCCAGTTAACCCCAGAAACCCCATTGCCTCAGCCTCTCCCTGCAAGACCTCCCTAGAATTCCCCCCACCTCCAGATAGCCTTCCAGGTAACTCCAGGAAGCCAAGACCTCCTAGGAACCTCCCTCTCCCCAGGAACCTCAAACCCTCCAACAGCCCTGTGTAGGTGGAGTCGCCATCCCTGGGGGTGTTTAAGGTTGGACTTGGTGCTTGGGGACATGGTTTAGTGGATGATGTTGGTGGTAGGGGGATAGTTGGACCAGATGACCTCGGAGGCCTTTTCCAACCTTAATCATTCTATGATTCTATGATCTACCCCAAAACCCTGGCACCCCAGGACTCCCCTATTCTCTCAGAATTCCACACAAACTCCAAGACGCCTGTAAATCCCAAGACCTCTCCTCTATGCCCAATGAACACAGGCATTCAGAGCCCCAGTGCCCTCCATAACCATTCCCCAGCAGACCCCAGAATACAGGCAAGCCTGGTCCCCACCATCACCCGTCCAGGATACTCAGCCCTCTAGTCACCTGCTGTACTCATGTTCCTTGTGAGAAACCTCTGGATGCCTGGGTTCCCCAGCAGAACAAATCAGACCCAGGCGAGCTGTTCAGGAACGATGTTTATTCAATCCCAGTGTGGGGGGGAAATTGAGGTGGTGGAGCAACCTCCTGAGTATTCCTGGAGGCACAGTTTTGCAGTGTGGGGGTCTTTGTGTCCCACGGGGTCCACACAATTTAGGGCAAAGTACCATGGGGGCTGAGGAGGGATCTGGGGTCAATTTTGCTCTGTAGAGATGCCCATTGGGAGACCAATAGGGGGGTACAGAGTTTTTAAGGTCCACTAAGTGTTACGGTGGGTGTCAGATGATCTAGAGGAAACCTCAAGGCAGTTGGGGCCACGTAAGGCTGAGGGCACAGTGAGGACACACACACTGAGGTCAGTATAGGCATGGGGCAAGGTGCCCCGGGTGATCCAGCGCCGGGTGCCTGGCTGGTAGGCATGGATCAAGTGAGTATCCCGGTAGGTTTCATGACTGTACCCACCCAGTACAAGCAGCTCCCCTCCCAGCACAGCTGCACCCCCCACTACATGGGCTTGGGGCAGGGGGCTGAGCAGAACCCAAATATTTAGCTTGGGACTGTAGACCTCAAAGGCCAGCTGGTCCTTGTAGCCACTCTGCCCATCCCGCTGGCACAGCCCCCCAGCCACATAGAGCTGTCCACCTGCCTCCTCCATGACATGGCCAGCTCGCTGGCCATTCATGGGGGCCAGGAGCGTGGCAGGAGCACCCGGAACATAGCGCAGAAGGGCTGTCTGGCACTGGTACGCCTCGTCACAGCCCCCTGACACATAGAGGGCACCATCCAGGGCACATGCTGCATGCCCACACAGAGCCATCGGCAGGGGCTGGCACGTCCTGGGCAAGGAGAGAGGGAACAGTGAAGGGCAGGTAAAGCAGGGCTGCCCCTCAGTGGCTGCCTGGCCAGCAGGTCCCTGCTGAGCACTGCTGGCCATGGATCTTTTGATCACTCAGCAGGCACTGCTGGCCAAGCCCCAGCGGGCAGCATTAGCTGCATGTAATGGATGAACAAGGGGCATCGCTCTTCAACAAATGACACCCTTAGTCGACCCGCAAGGGACTCCCCCAGTGAGCAGTGTTGGCCAACACCTGGCGGAGCACCCAAAGAACATAGCTGGAAGGTATTTAAATGATTCCTGTCATTGAGAGATGGCCAGCAGACCCTCAGTGAACACTACTGGCCAACCCATTCACTACCAATAGGCATCACTGGCCAGCACCCAGTGTCCCAAGGGACACTTGTTCCACACATGCCAACTGCAGGCCAGTGACTCCTCCATGGGAGTGTCAGTGGGCACTCAGTGGGCACCACTGGCTAATGCAAGGGGCTATGAGGGCAGAGGAAAGCAGGTGTCCGAGAGGAGAGGTCTCACCTCCAGGTGTCAGCAGACAGGTCATAGCACTCCACGGTGTCTGTGCAGTAGAGGTCACCTGAGCTGCCCCCCAGGGCATAGATGAAGCCCCCAAGTGCCACAGCAGCGAAGTAGCTCCGCCCGCAGGTCATGCTGGCCAGGCGCTCCCAGGAGTCGTCCATGGGCCGATACCTGGTGTTGAAAGGACATGGGGGCAAGAGACTAGCCGTTACCCACAGTGGCATGAGGTGGTGTTGACACTGCTGAGGACAGCAAACCACCCACAAGCAACCAACCCCATAATGCCCTGGAGACCCTTGCATAGAAACATCCTCCCCCCTCCAGCAATACCAATCCCATAAGGCTGTGAGGCCACATATCCTGGTGGGGGCCTCCCCGCCTTGTCCCCTACAAGTCCTGTAACATCCCCAGGTGGGATAGCTCCACAGGGACAGGAAGATCCCAGTCCAACAGATAACCAAAATACCACAGAGCCTTGGGTCCATGTGGTAGCTCTTGCTCCCCCAATAATTCCAATCCCACAGGACGCCTCTCGGTCCCCTGTAGCCCTCACCTGTAAACACTGGCCAGGGTGTCATGGACCCCGTAGTAGCGCTTTCCACCCAGGACGTAGAGGATGTTGCCTACCACAGCTACAGCATGGCGGAAGCGTGGACCGTCAGGAAAGTCCCCCAGTGCCCTCCACTCCACACGCTTCACCAGCCCCACAGCACTGAGGTAGCGGTGGGCAAACCAGAGGTGCCTGCTGGGCTTCCGAGCAGCCATGTTGGTTGTCAGTTTGTCTCCACCACAGACCACCAGCACCTCTTGCAAGGAACGCACCCGGCATGGCAGCTGGGCCTCCGAGTTCAAACTTGCTATCATGAGCTGGCGGAGGAGGCCTGGGTCAGCTGCCCCTGCGGCCACCGACTGGACCTTCTTCAGCTCCTGACCGGACATGAGGGCAAAGCGAACAGATGACAAAACTTCCTTGGCTATGTCCTCTTGGCCATCTCCATTGGCCACGAGCCACCGGGATGCTGCTTCCAAAGCCTCCAGTTCATTGAGGACATTGAGACCATCAGAGCGGAGGAGGCGGATCAGGAGGTGTGCAGGAAGCTCTAGGAAGGCTGGTGTGGTCACCACAGTGGGGAAGGTGGCCAAGATGTAGTCCTCTGCCACGCGGCTCACCTGGGCCAGCCCATAGGCCACAGCAAAGGTCAACACATCCAGACCAGTTTCTGGGGTCAGGCCATGGGTGAAAACATCCAGGCAGAGGGTGAGGAGCCCCCAGGCCTGGTAGCGCAGGGAGGTCTCGGCTGCCTCCAGGACTACAGGCCATGGTCCGGCCACAGCCCCTGTGTAGGCAAAGGAGAGGAGGAGGCGCAGCTCCTCTGGGGACAGTCCCGTGGCCAGTGGGGCAGCAGGGTCGTGGGTTGCCTCCCGCATGGGGCAAGTGAAGAGGGCCCGGAAGAAGTCACAGGAGCAGCTCAGGGCCAGGCGCTGAACTAGGTGAAAGGAGGGAAAACGATGGGGGCAGGAGGGGGACCCAGTGTCTGGGTACTGCCCTTTGCACCTTGCAGCCCCCCAGAAGCTCAGGCATTCCCTGCTGGTCCTCCTGCCGACCCGACAGGACCAGACATGGGGCACCTCTAGCTCCCACCCCACTTCAAGACAGGCACTGGAGACCCTGGCACTGACCCTGTGCACCCACCCTCCCTTCCCGGGGACCTAGGGGTCCCAGCTAGCCCTGCCACCTCCTCAATTCCCTCCCTTCCTCCCCCCACAAGAGCCCACCCCCGGCTCACCTGGGATAACCTCATCCCCTGCCTGCAGCTGGAGGTCGCAACCCAAGCCGCAGGCATGGAGCTTCTCCATGGCTCTGAGAGTCTCCCACTGCTCCTCCAGGGCCTCAGGACCCCCCTCCTGGTGGTCATTCTCCAGCCTGGAGGCACAGGCTGCCACCACCCGGGGGGCCCCCAGAGCTCTTGCAGCCTCCTCCACCTCCTTCTCTCTGCCACAGGGCATGGTTCCCTCATAGGCAAAGGCCAGCACGGCTCGCCAGCCCCATAGTGTGACCCCCGGTGGAAGGGGGACATGGGAAGGGGGTCCCTGGCGCAGCTCTCTGGTCCTGCCCTCCAGAAAGTGTAGGAAGAAGGAGCTGATGGATGCTAGGACCACGGCATGGGCCACATCACCCTCCGGACCCACAGCCACATCCACCAGCTGTCCTGCAGTGCGGAGGTCATTGGCGACAGCCAGGAACTGTCCGGCGTGGGTCCCATCCCGCAGTTGCCACTGGGATGGGGATGGCCCCTCTGCAACCCACATCTTGCCTGTGGGAACATAGGGAGCAGAGGTAAGGGTGCCATCCCCACAACCAGAGCCTCTGGCCAATGGCAGGAGTCCTGGGTGGGGATGTGGGGTGCTGCTGCTGGCACTGCCCCATAGCGAAAGCCACTAGATCCATTGCCAAAGGCTCTAGAGACCACCACCAGGCTCTGCTACTGCCCCACAGCTGAATCTGATGCCCCTTGCTGAAACTGCAGCTCCATAGATGAATGTGATGCCACCTATCTGCCTCACCACTCAACCCTCTGCTTTACAGCATGGGATGAAGCTACTGAGCCATCGCCAAAGCCAACTGAAAGCCACAGCCCCACAGCTGAGTGTCCCCCATCAAAGCTTCTGCCCCATAGCAGAAGCCACGAAGTTCTGGCCCAGCCGTTGCCCCACGTTCAAAACTACTGGAGCACCACCACCACCAAAGCTGCTGGCCCCTGCCCTGCCTCTCCTCGAAGACACCG